CCAATCAGTTGTTTTAATTGTCATATTTGAATTCAGCACATCAAAATCATAATAAATAGCACATTTTATGTCTGAAGCAGACGACTTCTCAAAAATTGTAGACCAGTGTAATAACATTCTTTTTGCTGTATCCCATGAGTTAGTCTTTCTATCACCACTGATTATGTATTGACATGGTCTTTAATAGACCAAATATGCATGATTGGTTGGTCTTGGTCCTCCTCTAATTTCTGCTATCTTGTAGGATAGGTCTATGAAATTCAAGAATGCTTTATGGTGCAATGAGTAGGAGCCAGATTGTTTGAAACAAATTCACCCATGGGTGTATTTGATGGCTCTCGGCATGGTACTGTGGAGCAACTGCTACTGTTTTAGTCCTGTGATGCCTGAAGTTGGGGTTTCCATACAATACAAAATACAGATATTCATTGTAGGCAATATTGTTTCATATAGAAATTTAGCTATATTGATAAGCAAATCAAGTCACTGGGTGAATGTACTAGCAATTCACCATGGTTTCAAGTCTCATCTAAGGAAACACTTCAACTTTAGAAGGTATTTCTAGTAGGCATTTTTTCATGTAACAGTTATTGCACAGTTTAGCAGTCTTTGGAGAGTGCCCCTCCCCCACCCTCTTCCTTAGACTTTATTGGACTATTAAGGGTGCTGCAAGTAGGAACAGATGTGCATTATTGGAATAGTCTTGAGAAACTTGTACAGCAGTTGATCATCAGCCCCTCTCTTTAATGAAACTGGTAGCCATGATTCAAATCTTAAAAAAAATAAATTAAAAAATAAGCCTTGAGAAAGTATTGTGCACTGTCTGCATACATGCCCCTCCTGCCCCCCATCATTACTGCTAAGCAAACAGGTGAGTCAATCTGGGAGCAGTCAGAGTGACTTTGTTACCTTCAGAAAAATATGAAGAGTGCTACTTAACATGAGTACAGAGAAGATGATTACAGATTTTGCTCATAGAGGACATGCCACTGCATCCTTGTTTAGATTGTGTTTTGTTTTGTTTCTAGATCCTTCTTTGTGGTCCAGTTGGTCCTAAACTCCATGAACTACTTGATGATAATGTAATTGTCCCACCAGAATCTATGCAGGAAACTGATGAATTCCACCTTATCTTGGAGTATCAAGCAGGTACTTTGAATATTGCAGTACATTGGACATTAAAGGGGTAAAAAACTGATTAGGTCTAGTTCATTGCCAAATATTTTCCACTGCAGCCCAATCAAGGATTTCCAGAGGTTTGTTTGACCCATCAACTCAAAAAAACAACTAAAAAAACCCCCCTGCCAAAACTCCGTGTAGCTATTTCATTAATCTTTGGGATTTCTTTCTGGTGTAAATTCAACCCCAGATATACAGATTCCAGAACTGGAGTGGTGGTGACAAGAGGAGAGAACCAAACTGTAAAATGAGCTAGAGTAGAGAAGGCAAGGAAAAATGGTCCCATACTAAAAGTCCTACTGTACATTGAGAGAGGAAATGGTGGGAATGGAACCAACCAGCCATATTCATTGCATCAAAGCAGGCGAGTCATCTTGTCTTTTCATACTGTCTTAATTTTATCTTTTCATACAATCAGGTTCTACATCTGCTATAAGGATGTGTGGGATTGTTCAGAAGAGACAATCCCTAAGATGATTTCCTTATTAAATAGTTCACATAGAGCATGAAAACCACTGCAGTAACAGTACCTTTCCCATTGCATGGTGTTCCCCCTTAAATTAGAGGATTGTATTTAGTCATTTGGGAGACCTCTGAGGAAAACCTGGACATAGCAGTAAGTGGCACTGACGATTCACTAAGTGGCACTGTACCCCTGAACGAGATGCCCCAGAGTCATACTTGGGCACTGTGTTCCTAGAGAGTGCCATCTTTGGAATGCAGTGTAAAACCAAACTATTGACCCTTTGTGGTCATTGTATCATCTGGTAAATATGCTGATCGGATCCTAACCTGGGGGCATTACATCTTGCCTCTTAAACTTCCACCTATGGTTTCAGTTGAAGAAGCTATTCTTCACTTTCCTTCCTAAAACCTGTTGTGTATTTTCGCTGATACAGAATAGCTGCCATATTCCATTCCCAGTGTTTTTGCTTCAATGATTGGTGATCCCACTGTAGTCTGTAAATTGTTTTAGGATCTTTCTGGATGAAGGGGCTATGCCAAGAAGCCTTGACTGCACCTAGTTATTAACGTTGCCTGTTCTCATTATTTTTTCCTCCCTTTCTAGCTCTTTGTATGTCCCAGTAGTAGGCCTGTATTGGTAGGTGGTGGCCACTTGCATAGAATCGGACATCTAGCTACCTGTGAATGGGTCTTCTGACAGAGGAGATCACCAATCCAGAGCTTCTTTACTTGTCTTTTAGATTGTCTTTAGCTTTGGAAATATTTTCAGGAACTGATGCTGTACCACAGCCTGTTAGATTTAGCTGTAATGAAAAATATACTGGCATAAACCTGCCTCTCAAGTTGAAGTGGCTTCGGCTTCCCAGTTGTAGATCTGACTTAGTAGAAGTCTGTTGTAGGACACCAATTTACAGGTGAGACAATTGTCCTGGTTTTTCCCAAACTTTCAGAGATTTAAAAAACCAAAACCTGTGCACTGTGGTGGTGAAGTATCAAGGTGATAGATACCTTATTCAAAACTCAAAGGTGTTTCTGGTTTTATTATGTATTTAAAAGCTTTCTGCATGTCAGTAAACTTAAGAACTGTGTAAGTTATCAGTATTAGCAGCTGTCAGTGTCGGAGCTAATCTGGTAGCTCCATCCGTTCTGTGAGCTGTGGTAGCCTGCTAGGTGAACAGTCATCTTAAACTGTTTTGAAACTCTTTTTTCCTTTGAACTGTGGTCCCTATAAATGCTGTATCCTGCTCCAATGCTGCAATATTGCTGTCCTATCAGATTTCACTCAGAGCTATGTATCTCTGTGTGCTGTAAGCTGAGAAATGTAAATAGTCTCACCATTGCCCTAAAACAGTATTAGCTTAGAAGGTTTGATTAGAAGTGTGCATCCTAAGCAACGTTTATGGGTATAATTACAAAACATCTGGACTTCTCTGTTAACATTAAAATAGACTGACAGCTTTCCTGAGTTCAAAAAGAGGGCACCATATAGTCTGAACTCTTTCTGCATGTGGCTACCTGTAACCCAAGGACTAAGACTACTTGGCTTTCTTTTGCATAGTGGCAATGAACAAGACAACGAGTGACAGCTGTCTTTTCCAAACAGAAACTGAGCAGGACTTTCATAGGTATCTGAAATGCTGCATGTGTGGTTAAAAAGTTTACTCTGTCATAGCAGCAGGCTCCAGAATGACCCCAACACTTACAAAAGCCTATGCTAATTAAACTCTCTAGTACTTCCCTTTTTATTGCATCCTGTTTGTATGAACTGAGAGCTTTCTTCCTCAAAGTTTTCTTCCTCCAGAACTCTCGGTATGGGCCAGCTAACCACAGTTGACATGTCTTTGTCTCATAGCCAATGGAAAACACGCTGCTTGCTTTGTGTGGATCTTGCATGTATGAAGTACACATTCCATGTGGATGATGGGCACCTTTGTCTTCTCCTAGATGCTGCTTTGGTGTGAAATGCACTGCTTTGTAGTTCCCTTGTGGGAACCAGTTGAGCTATGGATGTTGTGTCCTCCATAGACCTTAACATACTGCACTGTGAAGCTCTTTATAACATTTTTCTGATGGGCAACTTGAGTTAAATCCAGTGTTGTTGGCTAGATGTCGGCATGAAAACAGCCTAACTGGACACTGATTTCATCCTCCATCAGTCTGTAAGATCTTAGCAAACAAACTCACTCACCGGCTCTCAGGCCTGGTGGTTCTCTCCCTGATCACCTCATAAATGCTCCTGCTTGGGCAACTTTCAGTCTCGTGACCTTTCCTCCCTTCAAATTGCAGGTAGCAATACAAGTAACGCTTTTTGTCCTTCCACCCCGCTCTATCCCTACATTCCCCATCCCCTTCAGGCTGTTCCCCCCCCAGCCCCACCCCGCCACAACCCATTTACCATAGCTGGGGTATGGATTTTTTTTGTGTGTACTCCAGGGTTGAGGTTATATCTGTAGACAGCTGGGAGTTAGTGAACAGCTGACCAATTAGACTGTGGTTTGTATAATCTGTGTCCCTGTTAGACTCCAACACAAATTTACTTAATTTTTTCCTTTACCTCAGTGTTCAGAGGTACCCAGTGGGGATGGGTGGAACCATTTTGTATATATATATATATATATTCAGGCCTAAATATGACGCACAGCTCAAGTGTCAAGTATTGATCAGGTGGTCAAACTCTGCCTAGCTAGGTCTCTAGGGAGCCATGACTGCTCTGATTGATGCTGGGATTCCAGTGAGGATCCAGAAACTATCTTCTAGTTATTTGGCTTAATTGTTTTATTGTTGATTGGGGGATTTCTTCCTAGGTGAAGAATGGGGACAGTTGAGAGCTCCCAATGCCAACCGCTTTATTTTCTCCCATGACCTATCAAATGGAGCCATGAACATGCTGGAGGTGTTTGTGTCCAGCCTGGATGAGTTTCAGCCAGACCTTGTAGTGCTCTCAGGGCTTCACATGATGGAAGGGCAGAGCAGGGAAGTGCGTGAGAAGAGACTTCTGGAGGTAAGAACCTGAGCACTGTACCATCTCCTTAATTCCAGCCCCAGTAAACACTGTAGCACAGGGTGTTGACTTCCTGAGAATTCAGCATGCAGTTAGAGGATGTCTTTGCTCAATTTGCCTGCTGCTCTTCCTCCTATCATGGGCCAAAGACTTGTAATCTGAAACCATACAGCTAACATCATGAGCTCTAGTTTTGTGGGTTGGTTGAGATCCTCTAACACTGACATTACTGTTTGTTGGATCCAGTGGAGTCTTGATAGAAGAAGCTGCCACTCTGGTGGCTAGACTGTGGTGGATTTATCTAGTTATTGGAGCCTCATCCAGTGGCTGAATGCACTGTGTTCCATCCCACGTTAGCATAGTGAAGGCTGCAACTGAGACCCCTGTATTCTGTAGGCAGTAGCTGTGTCAGGTAATCCAAAAGGGATTCTTTCCTGCTTGAAGCAGAAGCTGCACTGAGCCTCTCTTGTGTGGAAGTTGCTGTTTGTTTATCTTACAGCTGCAAAGAGTCCTGTGGCACCTTATAGACTAACAGACGTATTGGAGCATGAGCTTTCGTGGGTGAATACCCACTTTGTCGGATGCATGCTCCAATACGTCTATTAGTCTATAAGGTGCCACAGGACTCTTTGCTGCTTTTACAGATCCAGAGTAATAAGGCTACCCCTCTGATATCTTACAGCTGACTGCCTCCTAATTCAATGTGTTCTCTTGTGCTTCAGGAACAAGCATTTGGGGCTGCTTCATGTCTGGAAAGTCTTCTGCATTGGGCAGTTAGATGAATGCGGGATTGGATCTAGATTATGGTCTGATGCTGTTGTGCTCTGAGATTCAGAAAGCTAGAGGCTGCTCCTATTTCTTCCTCTGAGCAACATAGTCCTTTTGCCAGCTAGATCATTTAGAAATAGAAATCTGACTGCATCCAGACATGAGCAGGTTAGGGTGCCTATATTTGAGCCCAAAAGCTTTTATTCATTCTGTTTCTTAAAGATGTCTTGCCTTTCCTTCTGCAGGCTGTGACTTCCATCTCTGATATCCCCACTGATATCCCCATACACCTGGAATTGGCCAGTATGACTGACCAGGATCTCATGAGCAAGATTATGAATCAGGTAAGCAAAATGACAGGACATGCCCACTTCACTCTCTGTCTGTACTCCATCACTGGTGCAGCACACAGACTGACTGGTGGGTGATCATAAATGGAAATTTAGGATTGGGGTTGCCTCTTCTGAGAGCAATGAGTATCTTGGGTATAAAGCCTGTAGAGCCATTTTGTACTTGTATTCCGGCTGAGGTCACTGCTCTGCTGAGGTTCCCACACCCACTCAACAGTGCATTAACAGGAGAAGTGTAACGATCTATGTTTTCATAATTGGTAGTAGACAGAGTGGTTTCTTCAGTATAAAGGGAATATCTGTCTTGGAAACACCTTAATGGAATATCCTACTGAGAGGATATCAACTGATGTTCTCAGCCAATCAACACTCTGTTTTCCTAAATGTTATGAAGTCAGCGTTAGGTGATGTGTGCAAAAATGAATGTACTCAGCAGCTGAAGTTGCATGATTTACTGTAGGGAAACACTTGGATTCTACTGCTTGTTGCTCACAGCCATAAACCTCCTTTGCAACTGCAGTAGGGAAATGACCCAAGAACTCTCTGTAGATTCAGATGATTTGACATGAGTAATCTCAGACAGTTGTTTCAGATTTAGCAGCCCTATAGCTTTCTGATAGACCCATGATTTGAACTGGAGCTGGTTTTAAAAAAAATACTTAGGCTTCTGAAGCTTCTTTTAGATGTTTTTGCATACATACAACTCAATGCTCCCTCATTTAAAGGGATGTCACTCCTTTTAGTCCCCAAGTTACATATGTTTTGGCTTGGAAGGATTAGATTTTTATTTTTAAATGTCAATAAACATAAATTTGACTGTGCATGCACAAACTGACATACTTCCATCCATGATCATCAAAATTTACAGACAGGCAAAGTAAGAAAAATGCTGCTTGAGAAATTATTAGTTTGATTTAAGGCTGTTTACTTTGTATATTTGGACATGTGATGTTGACAATGTGTGTTTTAATGGTTATAAAGTTTTAACTTTTTTGAATCTCAACATCTGCTGTCATTAAATAAATGTTTGAGCCCTCCCCCCCAATTTTCTATAACTGTGAACATTTAAATTACTGAAGGTAAAAATAAATGTTTAAAACCCATAATTTTGCACAATTGTGAACATTTAAATAGATAAAAATCTAAAAAACCTTAAAAATCAACATTGATATCTGTCAAAATTATAGGGGAAAAACTGAAATCTGCCAAGCCTACCTATGTTTCATATGGATTTCGTATTCTGTTGCTTTCATTGTTGAAAGTTATTTATATTGGAAATAAAATGACGAAACTGAGGCTACAGAAAGTTATCTACGCTGAAGGAATGAATTCCACAGCATGTTACATTTCTTGCATGAATAATTATTTTGTGTCCCTTATTTTGGATCTTTGTCAGAGGTTGTGTCCCACATTTGGGCCTTGACAGATTGATCCATATCTTCCAAACTGCTGCACGGCTGTATTAAGAGGAGTGAATTAGGGGTTTTTTTTGTATTCCTGTAGTAGAAGTGAGTAGAGTCTTGAGTGGATGTTTTTAGTTGTATCCTGATCTTGCTCTTCTTAGATAAGGGCAAAGCTAACTCACCCCAGCTTGGACATGATTTCTGTCCCCTCCACAGCCTCGGTTGTCACTGAAACCTTCCCCTTCTTTTTCTCCACATGTATTCAGTTGGAAGTAGAATGCCTGACTTCTTCTATTGTCTTAGTATAAATCAGTTGGATAGGGTGCTTGTGCAGAGAAATATGCTTCAACCTTCCCAAGAAACCAAATTTATTTCCTCCCCATGTGCACACAATCTGTGACCCTAAGGGCCAGGAGTCCCCCACCCCCACTCCGTTATGCACAATAGCTAAGAGTGTACTGTGACAACATAATATTTTTAAAATTAGGAAGCTGGGAAATTTGATTCTACCTCTAAGTCTGAAGAAAAACTGTCGTTCATTCTGTTTCTGTTAGCAGGTCTTCCCCCTTGTGAACTCTGTCGGGCTAAATGAACAGGAGCTGCTATTCCTCACCCAGTCAGCCTCTGGTCCTCATGCCTCCCTTGGTTCCTGGAATGGAGTTCCAGATGTGGGCATTGTCAGTGACATCCTTTTCTGGATCCTGAAGAAGCATGGAAGGACCATGGACAAGGCATCTGATCTTACCCGCATCCACTTCCACACACTGGCCTATCACATTCTGGTTACAGTGGATGGGTATTGGGGCAACCAGATAGCAGCTGTGGCTGCTGGAGCCAGAGTGGCAGGGACACAGGCTTGTGCAACTGAAACCATTGATACTGACAGAGTCTTTCTTAAAGCTCCCTTGGAGTTTGTGACCTCCCATACAGAGGCACCCTCCAAAATCTCTTTAAATCCAGGTGATCCAGTGGCACACTGGCACAGAGAGGGAATCTCATTCCATTTCACCCCTGTTTTGGTGTGTAAAGATCCCATCCGGACCGTGGGACTTGGAGATGCTATTTCAGCTGAAGGACTCCTATATTCAGAACTATACCCTCAGTAGGCTATGGAAACGAGACGCCTTTTTCGCCAAGAATATAGTGTCTGAGGAAATATGGTGTTCTCAAGGGGATTTCAGACAGTAAGGTGGGGGGTGGAATTTGGGATATTAAGCAGTCTCTGGATATTATCTGAGAAGAGCCAAAGAATATATTCTAACCACTTGGCAGTGACTTGAGAGTGTTTCTCATGTTAATGTAAAAGTTGTAGGATTTTAATTCAGAGACTGGCTTTTTGTCTTTGTCTTAAGCATGTCGGGAGGAGGGAAACTGATACCAAAATCCCTGTTTGGAACAGATTTGCTGATTGTTAATTTAAGCCAGTTGTGTCTATAGTGCTTGAAAGCAAGGCAGCCAGACAGAATTTCATGCTTATGAATCCCAGGGAGTACACAGCAGTCCTCAGCCCTGTCTTGCTTCTGATAAAGCAAAAATAAAAGGCTCTTGCGTTATCTCCTAGCAGCATATTGCTACATGGCAAGAGCAACCCTTCCACTTGCTCAGTATTGTGATCATATCGCTTATTGACAAAATTACCTCTCAACCTCAGCACCCCAAGCATAGGAGGGAGCCAGAGTAAACAGAGCTGAAATGTGATACGTACTGTACATATTCCCTAAATGCACAGAGCTGGAGAGAGCTTTACTGGAAGCTCTGTAAATTGTTTTAGGTATCTGTGCAGCTGGGGATGAGAGACTGAACACACGCAAGCTCCTTTTTAATTTCTGGGTAGGTCAGAGTAAGATACTGAAGACCTGTCTTTTGGGAGATAGCTTAGGTGCTTGTTTACCTTAAAATGAGCCTCAAATCTAAATGTGGCTTAGTTGCACAGAAATCGCCCTGTGTTTCAGCTAGCGAGGCTCACCATTTATTCTTTCCTTTGTGGTGTATGCTCATGTCAGCCTCATCCTCCAGTTTATGGATAGGCTACTGCTGATGAAGACTTGATTTATTTTTATGCTAGTGCTGTTGCATAATTTTCTTGGACCTGCATATCTTTGATTTGGAGGGGTCTTGTTCTTTCAGGTGGTCTCTGGATAGGTAAGTCATTACTGGTTTTAAGGTAGCTGAACTGACCTGTCCTTCACATGCTAGAAATCCTCTTCCGGTACTAGTGAGAAATGCTAGGAAGAAGACTTCCAGTTGAGATTGGAAGTATGTTTGGTGTGTGTAGCACAGTTTATTTATTATGAATTGCCTATCTCCATATAATTCCACTGCTTTAGGCAACCTCACAGGAACAGAGCATGCGCATCTTACTGTCAGCACCACAAGAAAATTGCCTTGTATTGTAGCATATATTTAGCTTAGCATTTTTTTTTTTTTTATTAAACATGTTGTTTAGAGAATCATTTTTTCTTGGTAGCACTTGTGTTGCCTGCTTCCCTTTGAGAGTTAGCTGAAACTGTAAGCCTACACTTGCACAGAAGCAAAATACAAGTCTACTTCAGTGTTGATTGAAAACTCAATATGACTGGCATGTCTATGTAATCCAGTTTCTTTCCCCGCTATAGGTATGTAAGACTCGCAACTGCACACATTCTGCATTCAGGAACGGATTTGTTAAGTTTAAAAATGCTGGACTCCAAACATTTTGGTAAAGGTACAAACAATGATTATACCAAGTAGCTGCAAAATTTGCTGTGGGGAGTCTGAGGAAACTATGATAGGAAGAGGATGTTTTTAGTTGCCATATGAATGAAAAGTGAAACAGATTGCTGCAGTCAGAAGCAGCTTTAATGAGAGACATTTTCTTAAGGGAAAAGGGTGTGTCTCTCTCTCTGTCCTTAATCTATCCAAATCATTGGACAGAATTCTACTCTTACAAACCACAACCTGTTCAGCCTGGCCATGCATTCATCTCAGTTATTTAGGCCTACCACAATCATCATCAAGAAAACCAGAGTATCTGTAGTATCTAATGGAGACAGGTTAGGACTTGAATCTTTCAATTGTACCCTGCAGCATAAAGCTTGGTACAATTGAACAATTAAAAATCTTCCATCTGTAACAATTACTCTCCAAGCCATGTCTCCTGTGTGGCACAGTAGATCTAAGTTTTGTAGCAAGGACCCTAGAGTCATGTAGCCCTGTGGGAACTGTATAAGTCAGCAGTTCATCTATTGGCGCCAAGTCTGTAAAAGCATCCCTGTCCTGTAAGGGGACCAGATTGTATTTCTTAGAGTGAATCTACCTGATATAATTGGCTGTAGTTGTGGTTGGTTGAATCTGGCAGCGCAAACCTCTTCCCACATTGTAAAACTAGCAGAAGGTGGCTAATGCCAGTCTCTCCTCATGCTGGTATTGCTGTCTGTGGAGTTTTCCTGTAGGGAAAACCAGAGGAATGATGTAACATGGACTTGTGGGTGTCACACATTTAAAATCAGATAAGCCCCAGAGGGTGCTGTGTGAGGGTATAAATTAGGAGCTGTTGCATGCCTTCCTGACACCACACAAAATGGTGTCCAGTCCACCTGTAACTACTGTTGGCTTGTGGATTCAGAGGAAACCCAGAATGGTGGAAAATTCTCTGAGGAAAGAGTCTGCAAAAGGTCAGACAAGATAATCATGATGGTCCCTACGGGCTTTAAAGTCTGAGTCTCTTCTGCATCACCAGGGCAAGAAGGAACCAGCTCTGTAGTGCACATCCTACAGTTAGTGTCTCATTCGAGCTTTGCCTTGAGGTTTGATATTCATTTCAGTCAGGGGACTTGAATACGAATTCATTGATATCCAAACTCCTCCTCCTTCACTAAATTGTATCTTTAGTTTTGAAGGACAGTGTTTTACCATTTTTGTAAAAAAGGCCAATTTGCATCTTTGACTAACAGGTCTGAGGCACCCGCCATTAGGATAAATGTACATTATTGTGCAACGTTTGTGAACATAGACTGCGGGCAGCAAAGCAGTAGGACTACCAAAGACCATGCATCCTGCCAATTTAGGAATAAATCCTTTGCTTATGGCAGGTGCAAATTTATTCAAAGCCAGCAAAGTATGTGGATTTTTGACCTAGAGACAAAAGAAAAATATGTACAGGCTGTTGGTTACAGAGCAAGCCTGACTGCTGTGATATTTTACACATTTCTTCCAAAAAAAAAAGTGTCAAGACCTTAGATTTTCAGGACAAAACCTAAGATTGCATGGGCATAGGGCAGAGTCTGGCTCAGAAAGCGTACATTAAAATCCTGGAGTTTTAAATATTTTCAAAAAATAAATCTTAACTTAGCTATTTTGACTAACCCCATTAAATAGGCCGCTCCCATAGATCAAAACGAACACTTAAAATTCTACCCATCTTAAAGACCCAGGACCTGATTTTCTTCCCATTTAGATGAGTTTTACACTAGTGATACTAGAGATCCTATTGGGTGTAAGTCAGTAGTATCTGAATTTGAGTTCATTTTAATTTAGAAACAAAACCCTGAAAAATGATAAACTAGGGAGTAAAAAGTAAAGTTTGTTAGTAAGGTTCTCTGACCCACTAATATTTCTTCCTGGGCTTTCTTGTGACCTGGCATAACTGTGTTACCACTTTAATATGTGCTTTGAGTTAGAGCAGCTTATGATGGAACTGATGGTGCTCTTGCCATATTATGAAACAGCCACATGATACTTTAAAGTTAGGCAGTTTAAATTAATCTCACGGGTTCACAGTTACCAAATTTGCTTAGTGATAATAATCCTTAATCAGTATGACTTAATGGTTGATAAATGTTGCCATTATCTTCCTGGCTACCTGTTGAAAGAGCCCACACAATAACCAGCTGAAACTGGAAGGCAGCATCCTGCAGTTCCTCACTCCATGCAGTTCCTCACTCCAGCTCCACTTAACTCAAATGTGCTTTCCCAGGCTAAACAATGGAATACACAAAACATGAGTTTCACCCAGAACATTTCTCATACACTTGTAGGGCACTGTATGTCTATGAGGGTCTCCTTCCTATATCTGATAGCAATAGTGCCAGCTCATCACCACTACTTGGTATTTTGAACTGCTTTTGTTGAGTAATAGAAGTGGAAAAATTACTCTAGCTATTCCAAATGCTATTATTTCAGTTATCCCAGCTGCAATGTCATTATTGCCAGCTCTAACTTATACTCATCAAAGTTGTCTTATTGCTTTGAAACTTTGAGCTAGAAAATGAATCAGCAGAGTTAAAAGCTGATTTTCTTTGAGCATAAAAAAAAAAAATCCCCAAACTGTAGCTTCATTTTTGTAGACGATTAAGCCCTGTCTTGTGGGCATGTGAATGAATGTTAGCCAAATGGGCTGTAAAAAAAAATCCAGTACTTGTTTCACTTTTGTGAAGGGAAGGCTGGAGTATCAAATATGCTTTAAAATAATTTTGAAACTGTTCACACCTGCATCTCTCTCTCTTCTCTATATTGCTATGAATCATGCCATGAAACCCACATAGGTAGATGATCCAAACCTTGATTAGCATTAGGCTCCTGAGCAGGACTTTCCCAGATGTTCTGTAGGCTAGGCAGTGTCTTACCTTCCAACTGCTGCTGACAATACTTGACCTCAACAGCATGGCATTAAGCCAGCAGGCCTGTGGCTGTTAGTTGCTGGTTAAGGGCAGGTGCGTTTGTGATATGTTCATTTCTATCAGTATCCAGCACAGAACTTGCTCAACTATACAGCTGCAAAATTTACCCTTATCCTTTCTTAAATTTGATCAAAACAATCCATCATTTAAACCCTGCTTTAAACTGTTTAAAATAAAGTCTGGCAAAAATAGCTTGTGGATCAGTGCAGGGCAGATAGCCCTTGAAGTTGCTTCACAGTGGCCTTGGTGCTGTGATCCCTGCCCAACAAGGATAGAGCTGATTCCAGACTCAGCCATTTAAATTCTAGGGCTCCATTTTTAAGGGCTGTTTTCTTGCCACATGAAGATGCCCAGAAGTGTCACTAAACTATTTACTTTTCTTCCTGTGTCTCAGCTCTTTCCCTGTGCAATGTGGGAAAGCTGGCTAGGTCCACTTCACTTGGTAGGCCTTTCTTTTAAAAGGGGGGGGGGGGGAAGCAGGTCCTGAAATTGTCCTATCATTTACCTTAGCTTTTAGCACCTCTCAATAGAGACTGCATCAGCTGATGGAACCTAGTCTGCTGATTTCACTCAGCTGCAGTTGTGGAGATGCCAATTCTGTGTATCTGTAGACACCTGTGGCCTTTTGTAACACTTGATGTGGTACAACCTGCGGCATGTGGGTTTGTCTTTCTCTCTCTCTCTCAAGAAAGTTATTTTAAGAATGGTTAAGAATTTTAAGGAATAGGCTGCTGCTTCTGGCATGTGCAACACTGAAATACAAGGCATTATAAGCAAAATAAAAGGCATGTCCTATGTTAGACTGTGAAATCCATTGGTAATGGCTGTGCTCTGCCTTGGTGATTTACATGTTTTAATTATGTGTTCAACTTTCAGGAACTACTTTATTTGCCACAGGCAGTTTTCCAATCATTTTCTGAAATATGGTGGTGGCAATTGGGAACAGACTCTTGAGAGAATGGCAAAAGCATAGCATAACCCAGTCTGATTACATTAGTAATCTGTACCAATTTCTGCATATTTTTTTCTCAGAGCTTATTGCTTAGCTGGGAAAAGAACACTATTCATTTGTAGATATCCCATTGGTTCTTTGCATTAATCTTGAGATATCTGGCATAGGTGCTGGTATACATGCATAGACCAAATTATTTTAAAGTGGTGCTGTCAAGTACTTCTGGCCCAAAACCAAGCTATTGGAGGAGGGTGGTAGGGGTGTTGCTTCTGTTTTAGAATATAGGTATCTACTCACTAGCTATATAATACAGTGCTATTAGAACATAGTCTACTGAAAAGCATGAAAAACACACATGCAGCAGTTGTACTCAATCTGGATACTGCACCAAGCAGTTATCAGCAATAAGAAATGGCTGAGCAAGCCAGAGGAACTGGTGCTTCTCAAAGCAGATCCACTGCCTTTATTTTCCTTTGCACTGGGTGAGACTTACTGTTTACAACCCTTTGTCATTCACCAGACAACTAAAGCAGAGGCTGCAACAAAGTACTGTATTTGAATGACAGATGTGAGAATACAGCAGAGAGATTACTAAATAGATGAGACAAGCCCCCTTCCAGCTCTGAGTGAGGTTGGGAAGTCTAAACTGGATATATGAATGGAGTTGGATCACTTCTTGCTGCCTTCTCTCTTTTCTTAATAGAATATACACACACACAGGGGCTTGGCTGAATTTGATTTTTTTTATAGTTAGATACTGATTCTAAAAGGTTTTTTTGGATTATTAATTTAAATTTTCATAGTTGTGGGAAATTATTGGGGGTCAGAATAATAATTTATTGACATTAATTAATATTAATATTGAGATTCAAAAAGTTAGTTACCTAAATGGCACTAATGCAAGCAATACAATACGTTTTATACACATTAAGATGGAACTCTAAGTAATTCTCAAGCAGCATTGGTTTTACTTGGGCTATCTAAATTTCGATCATCATAGCTGGAATTACTTTTTCATAGGTTTGTGTGTGTACAGTGAGATCACTAAGACTAATCTTTCCAAGCCTAAATACATACGTGGGGCTGGTGCCGTCTACATTGGGTTTATAACAGGAATGTTCTCAAACTACATAAGAATGGCCATCCTGGGTCAGACCAAAAGTCCATCTATCCCAGTATCCTGTCTTCTGACAGTGGCCAGTGCCAGGTGCTTCAAAGGGAATGAACACAACAGGCAATTGTTGAGTGATCCATCCCCTGTTGTCCACTCCCAGCTTCTGGTGAACTGAGGCTAGGGACACTCAAAGCATGGTGTTGCATCCGTGCCCATCCTGGCAAATAGCCATTGATGGACCTATTCTCCATGAATGTATCTAGTGTCTTTTTTTAACCCTGTTATAGTCTTAGCCTTCACAACATCCTCTGGCAAGGAGTTCCACAGTTTGACTGCGTTGTGCGAAAAAATGCTTCCTTTTGTTTAAAACCTGCTGCCTATTAATTGACCCCTAGTTCTTGTGTTATGAGGAATAAATAACACTTCCTTATTTACTTTCTCCACACCAGTCATGATTTTATAGACCTCTATCATATACCCCCTTAGTCATCTCTTTTCCAAGCTGAAAAATCCAAGTCTTATTAATCTCTCCTCCTCTGGAAGCCGTTCCATATCCCTAATCATTTTTGTTGTCCTTTTCTGAACCGTTTCCAATTCCAATATATCTTTTTTGAGATGGGCTGACCACATCTGCACCCAGTATTCAAGATGTGGGCATACCATGAATTTATATAGAGGCAATATGATATTTTCTGTCTTATTATCTATTCCGTTCTTAATGATTCCCAACGTTCTGTTCACCTTTTTGACTGCTGCAGCACATTGAGTGGATGTTTTCAAAGAACGATCTACAATGACTCCAAGATCTTTCTTGAGTGGTAACAGCTAATTTAGACCCCATCATTTTATATGTATAGTTGGGATTATGTTTTCCAATGTGCATTACTTTGCATTTATCAGCATTGAATTTCATCTGCCATTTTGTTGCCCAGTCACCCAGTTTTATGTTCTAATGAAGTTTCTTGCATAATAGCTCAAGTAGGATTATAACCTTTGACCAGACTGAAATCTCAGGGAATTGTGGGATGTCAGACTTCTGTCTGTTGGGTTTCCCTGAGCAAAAGGAACAAACACAGGTTGGCTATTGTATACACAGCATCTGCTATCTCAGAACCAGCAATGGGAAAGGCATATATGAAACCAGCTGTGACTTTTAAAACTTAATCTGGTGTCATCCTGCAGCGGGATGGCATCTGAAGAACAAGCCATGGCACCTAGGGGCGAATGAGCTTGTTAAAATGCAAGAGCCAAAAAGCTTCCTTAAGAACTTCTCAGGAAAGCTGCTGTTCGACAATACAAACTACTGCAGGGATCGGCAATCTTTGGCATGCGGCTCACCAGGGAAATCCGCTGGCAGGCTGGGACAGTTTGTTTACCTGCAGCGTCCGCAGGTTCAGCTGATCGTAGCTCCCACTGGTTGCGGTTTGCTGTTCCAGGCCAATGGGGGCTGTGGGAAGGGGCGGCCAGCACATCCCTTGGCCCATGCCGCTTCCTGCGGCCCCCATTGGCCTGGAACAGCAAACCGTGGCCAGTGGGAACTGCGATCGGCCGAACCTGCGGACACTGCAGGTAAACAAACCATCCCGGCCCGCCAGTAGATTTCCCTGACAGGCTGTGTGACAAAGGTTGCCGATCCCTGAACTAGTGTCTGAGCCTATCTTTTTTCCACTGTACAATATCTGTGAAGCACTGCCACGGGAAATTCTGTTTCTGTGCAGTTTGACTTGTGGGAGGGGAGAACACATGGGGGAACCTTCCTTGAGGTAAAATTAATGTGTCTTTTCTATTGTAAATATTCTGGGACGTGAAGTACTTTTTATATGCTATGCTTTGATTTTTGTAGTGCATTTCTGTATAGAGTTTGTCACACTATTTTAGTAAAGCTTTTTTTCCCCAATCAGCTTACAAAGTTGTCTGACTTCATAGAAGGGGCTCTGCCAAGTGCAAATCCATCTTCCTAGGTTGGAACAGCATGTGTGTGACTGAGTTCTAGGCTACTCTTGGCTGAAATGACAGCCTTTGCTGCATATCATTTCCACTAGAGCCTGATGGGGGCACAAAATTTGTATTCGCAAACACGGTCCATGGATATCCTCATCAGTGGATATAAATTTGCAGGGCTCTACTTATTCTAGCACGTGTTCTTGTGAGGTGGCTTAGCACGCCTGTCTTTTGCCTACTCGGAAGCTAGATGGGACAGTGTAAGCTGGTCTGCGGTGTGGATGTGCTTAGAAGAAGCCAGGGGCACCCATGGCTCTAGAAATCAAACTCTCAGCTCTTTCTGACCTGCTGCTGTTTCCCTCTGACATACTTATTGATGGAAAGAGAAGGAAAACTCTCACTTCAGTATTATGTTTCAGGCCAGCAGCTTGTTGGGGGGGGGGGAAAGGGGAACAAAAACAGCATAAATTCCACTGAAAAATCCCTACACTTACCTTTTTTTCATTACCAGTCTTGCATCACTCTCCATCAGCCAGGTCAAATTTGGAGAGTACTACTGTGAATCCATTGTATGCAAAAGCACATGCTGAGCTCCAGTTCCATTTATTATCATCATCTACAGTCTATATTTACACATTTAAAAGTTAAATTCCCTCTTCGCTCATCCCAAGTCTCGAGAGTAACAAGGACCCACAGTCTGAGTCCACAGAAGGAGAATGCTCTGTTTGATCCTCTCTACCTACCTCTCCCCAAAGGTTATTTAAAACACCTCTCCGTATACCACCCCTGTGTGTACTCTGTAAACATGAAATCCCTGCTGTACAAGCATCAGATGATCTTAGCATCGAGGAGCCTAAAAAAGGGGCTACACACTTCTGGGGACAGGGCAAGTAGGGTGTAGCTCTTCAAGTATCTCCTCTGTTCTGAAGATCAAGGTTTGTGGCTCCTCATGAGCCACACCACATTGTGAAACTGTCAGTGGGACAGCAGCTGCTAGAATCAATTAAGTGTAGCAAATGTATTTCATAACCTGCTAGAAACAGTCCTTTCCCCACCCCTTTCCTTCCTCTGCTTCCACAGGCACTGTTCAGACTAAGATTAACAGTTCACTACCATAGTATTTGGGGCAGGGGGATCACCTTCCCATAGGCATAGGCAGTCACCACCATTCTATGGTCTGGTCACCTATTTTATGTACGAACACAAGTGGCTGTCCCCTCCCTAGTCTGAAAGGGGTTTTAATGTAAGGTACAAAGCAGTACATCAACAAGAGAGATTAAAGCAACTTTGTTTTGCTTATAAAATTAATAAGTCTTCCTCTGCCCACGTTTAACTGTATTGCACCTAAATGCTGAAGAAACTGCACAGAGAGGTTTGAAGGGGGGATGCTGATGCTGAAGCAAATTGTGTTTATTAAAAAAAAATTCTCTCCATACTTTAGAAGTGAAGAGCACTCCTTGCCCAGCTTTGTGCTCTTCCAGTAAAAATCAATCCTCTCACATACACCCCATGGAAATGACAGTAACATTCAGCATGACTATTTCAATATAAAACTGCACCTAACACGATACCTAAATCATAACTGATCATTCTAGTAAGTTGCTTCCCGTTTCACCTACCATTTGTCTTGTATACGTAAATTGTAAGCTCTCCACGGAAAGAACTCTGTTTTGTACAGCACCTAGCCCAGGGGGGTCTTGATCCAGAGGGATGCCTCTAGCAGCTACTGTAATACAAAATAACTGCAACACCAGTTAAATGGGTTGTGACCTACCGTATATACTCGTTCATAAGCCAATCTTTTTTAGTAAAAAAGGGAAGCACCAGAGACGGGGGTCAGCTTATGAATGGGTATAGCGAGGGAGAGGTGGGATACAGCCCCTCCCCCCAACAGAGGGAGCAAGGAGAGGCAGCACAGCCAGCAGAGCCAGAAGGGAAGAGGCGGGGCCAGAATCTCTCCACTTCTGGCCACGCTGCTCTCCCCACAGCCTCCAAAGCAGCTGCAGCTCCGGGGCTGGCAGGCTGCAGCCGTGCTGCTCGGTCCCACCACCCAGAGCAGGCTGTGGCCGCGTCGCTTGGGCGCTGGAGCATGCTGCGGCCACGCTGCCCAGCCCAGCCCGCTGGAACACGCTGCAGCTGCGCCGCCCGGTCTGGCCCGCCGGAGCAGGCTGCGGCCGCGCTGCGCAGCCTGCCAGAGCAGCTCCAGCCACGTCAGAGACATCCTTCCCTGGCCCTCCCCAGATAAGGTGGGAAGGGATGGGATGGGGAGAGTGTGGGGGTCCTGGGCTAGGGGTGGGGTCATGTGGGGTGGGGTCACGGGTTACTCCCCTGACTCCCAGCTTCTCCCCCCAGTGGTGAGCTGGAGCCGGTTCCCAAGCTCCGGCAGCTCACCTCCCCCTCCGCCCCTGAACGCTCCGCCCCCCTTCTCCTCCTCCTCCCCTGCTTCCCGCGAATCAGATGTTCGCATGGGAAGCCTAGAAACAAGCAGCAGCAGGTAAGCTGGGGCAGGGAGGGCGCGAGGAGGGCTCCAGGGAGGCGCGGCTCGGCCCCGTCCGGCTCCATCCCGGCCCCAGCCCAGCTCCAGCCGAGCGGCTCCCTCCGGCCCCGACTTTGGCCGGGCGGCGCGGCTCCAGCTCCAGGCGGTGCGGCCCCGGGCCTGGCTCTGGCCCAGGTCCTGGTCCTGGTGGGGATAAGCAGCATGGTAAGAGACTGGGGCCGGAGGGAGGGGTGAGTGTTGGATAAGGCAGGGGCAGGGAGTCCCGGGGACAGGGAGTGGGTGGGGGGGTTGGATCGGGCAGAGGTTCTGGGGGGGCAGTCAGGGGATAGGGAAGGGGGGGTTGGGTAGGTGTGGGAGTTCCGGGGGTCTGTCGGGGTGGTGGTGGATGGGGTCGGGGCAGTCGGGACAGGGAGCAGGGCGGGGTTGATGGGTTGTGGTTTCTGAGGGGGACAGTCGGGGGGGGCGAGGTGGGGATGTACTCACCGGGTGGTTCCCTACCGGGTCTTCGGCGGCTGGTCCTTCAGTGCCGCGGAAGACCCGGAGTGCCGCCAGGTGAGTCATCCCTGCCGGGGTCCCGTCGAATCGGGCCCTGCACTTCCTAAAGCCAGCCCTGTCCCCACCAGCTGCTGTCCCAGCCCGTCAGGATAAGAGGCTGGCACGCCAGGACATTTTGTTTACTTAGGTTTACCTCCATGCTTGTGGACGCTCAAGGTAAACAAACCATCTCGGACCACCAACGGCTTATCCTAATGGCCTGGGAGCCAAAATTTGCTGACCCCTGCATTATAGGATTGGCTTATGAACAGGTTAAAAATTTTCCATTTTTACTTATCCATCTTGGGGGGGGGTCGGCTTATAAACGAACCGGCTTATGATCGAGTAGTTTAAACAGGGCACTTTGGTTACAAACCAAAAATTGTGAACTGTTGCTGTTCATTTAGTGTGTTTACTAGATCAAGATCTCATCAGCCATTTGTCAGCTAAACCCCCAAAATACATTAACTTTGGTTCCTGATTGCGCTTTAATAACCTTAAAATTGCATTAGTGTCATTTTGCACAATCGTAGCTAATCGGAACGTACAACAGGGGGCTGCTGTTATTCCCAGAACCTGGCCCACATTGCACCAGGCATTCGGTGACTAAACTAAGGATCTGGTAAGGTTAACTGCCTTCTCTTGTTGATTATGCAAAATAACACTGATGCAACTTGAACGTCGTTATCCCATAATACAGCTAAAATCAGACTTGTAAATGATGCCTAGGCTAGCTTTCAGAGGTCTGAGCACCTGCTAGACTGACAGCAGTGGGAGCTGTAGGTACAGAAAACCTGTGAAACACGCTGTAGGTTCCTACAACACTAACGAAAGGTTCCTTGCACAAGTTTTTAATTCGGTGGCTTAAGGCGTATTAGGGGCTTGAGCCGTGATTAGAGTGATCGCAATCACTATGGGGCAAGGTGGACAAGGTCTACACCATCCTGACATTTTATGTGGATGGCGGTGGTTCTGTTTTACGTTGAAAAAGCAGGTTTTTTTGGCTGGAGTGTTCAGCTAGGAGATACAAACTGTTAGTGGGTGAAGGGCAGAGAAACTGGCCTAACCTTTAGCCTAACCTTTAGTTTAACTAGTCTCTTAACTCAGAAGGAAAACAGCCTCATATGGTGCCATTCAAGTGTGAGGTGCTTAGCCTAGCTGCAGCTGCTGGGGAAGAGTTTTCCCTGCCAGGCTGGGGTAAAGTTGACAATAGCTACATTGTTCAAAAGGTGAGAGCTATCTTAGCAACAGGAAACTTTAAATGACCGAATTGGTATAACTAGCGGCAAGTTATGAAATGCAAAGCCTAGACCCTGCTCTCACCCTTGTGGGGAAGGGAGCACATTGAGGATCTTGCTGTGTGGTCTTTGCCAAATAAGCTTCCTCAGTCAGGTTGTCCCAGCAACAGCCCTGGCTCAGGCTAACTATGCTACTTTCTTGAGCACTACTGATTACCACAAAGGGCTGTATTTGAGAAGCCCTTAATATGGTCCCCTCCTCTCCATCACTTCTGGAGAACAAGACAGCCCAAGTGCACAGGGGCTTTGGGTTACCGCCATTTCTTTAGTGGTAATAATCTTTCCCCTCCCAGCACGTACAGGCTGAATGGACTGAAGTTTAAAAAACAAACAAGGTGCCAGTTCTCCCTTGTGGGCTGCAGTCGAGTCTGGAAAGGGTTGGAACTGATGGAACTGTAGAGACGGTCACTACCCAGGTTGTCCAACCTCAATGGCTTTATTAAAATTAGACCAGTTAGTGTCAACAGGATTTAACTTATGGGGGAGGGAGGGGATCAGAAGGTAAGTGACCCTAAGGAATCAGGCTAATTCTCAGTTCCAACACATCCTCGTGCCTGCTACCTCCCAGCTTTCCTGAAGCCGTGAGTCTACGTTTCAGGAAGAGAACTCTCCTCGGGTGTAAGTTCCCAAAAGAGGTTACAGCTGTAACTTCCCCAGGGATGCTGGAAAAGGCAGAAGTGAAAGTAGCCACTCTTTCCAATTCTGTTTGGCTCTGTCAGCCTGTCCCTTCTCACTTAGTGACTGTGGGAATGGAATCGGTTCCAGCCTGTCACCACTAGAACTAACAGAGAAATCAGCCAACTCAAGGTGCTAGTAACTTCCAGGAGAGCTGGACATTGAAGGCAAATTACTCCACACTCTTAAAACTCCCACCAAACTGAGGCAGCGTGTTAGTAGGGTATCAAAGTGCCCCTTGCCTGCCGTAACTCTGCTCTGCCAGCCAGAGCGCCCTGGAGTGAAACCAGCAAGAGACTTACATTGTGGATGAAAGTCCAATCTCCTTTCATTTGCTACTGGCTGAAGGGTGAGTCTATTACAGAGAAGTTTGCTCCCTCCCAATCCCTGTCACCTCTACCTTGCAGGACTGACAGCACTGCAAACAGCTCTGAGGGAGGGAGTTCCTCTCCCAACCTAGGGCAGGCGGCCTTGCAGCTAGCTGCCTGAGGAAAGGGGGCTGGAAATGCTTTCCCCCGGTTTTTGGACAACCCCGATGAGAGGCTGGGCTTTGGTAAACAGGCATGCAGGTTGCACACATCTCCCTCTGAGCAATGCAGAGTAGCCTCTCACATTATCTTCAATGAGCATGGCCTGAACTGGTGCCCCTCCTCCAGGCCTGCATTTAGGGTTGTTTCACTCCTTGGACTGATCTGGCTTCCACTCACTTGTCCTGTTAATTTTTCTAGCTTCTCCCCTCCTCCAGTTCTTCCACTGACCTTACTACAGGGGGCTAGTAGAGCTTTCTCTGAGCCAGCTAAAAGGCTTACTTGCTTAAAGGGGCATGATCCTCTCTGGGCTCTATTTAGAGAATTGGTCCAAGCAACTGCTTTAAAAGCTGTATAGTCACTGTAGTTGGCCTCGCTAAACCATGCTGCTGACTCAGCCCATCTCAGTGATTCAGCACCTAAGCACTGTGTGCAATGCTACAGCAGCCCCTCCCTCAAGGAAGGAGGGGATTGCACCTCCATTACCTCATGCAGTCCCACAGCAGCACTAGTGGGCAGCTCATCAGAACCTCTTCTGGGTGCCATGGAGCAAAGAATCACTGAGACAAGGATGAGGTCAGGTGCTAATGTCACTATCGGCATCCAGCTGCATTTTGCCTAAGCTCACAGTATGGTGAAGTCACTGCAGGCCATGCTGGGGGCAGCTGCCCTTCCCCGCTGCTTGAGTTAAGGGGTGGCAGTGAAATTTTGCTCCCAACAGCCCAGCAGGCCCCGCGCCTGCCCAGCCCGTCCAGTGCTGCTGTTCTATTCTGTGGTCAGCCTGCTTTTGCGCTTCTCTTTTCTCCATTCTTGGGGCTCTGTAGGGGATATGGTCTCTTCAGGGCCTGTTTCTGAGCCCGGTTCAGGTTCCAGAGGCAGCGACGGGGGCTTTGCAAGGGGAGCCGATGCTCCAGCACCTGATGATACAACACAGGTTACAGCCACGGTCCCATACACTCCTCTTTATGCCACAGGAAACGGCATCTAATTGTTAAAGCAAAAGGCTGTGCCTGCTGCTGTGACCTAGGCATGTTGTATGAATTTGGATGGATTATATGGGCTAAAGGCATTAACACAGCCCAGTCACTGTCCAACACTGACCAGTGTTAAACAAGGCTTGGTTTGACAGTCTCTTTGATGGTATCACAGATGGCAACAACTGTCCTTTTCGGGAACAGAGCAGAAGTTAATTGAGGTGAGCTGAAGCTGTTGTTATTGCTGCTGTTGGTAAAGTCCCCTCATCCTTGGTGATGGCTGGGATTCAGCTGGAGCTGGCAGAGGTGGTGATATTGTCTGGGTCCCTCTCTCTGGCCTCGTCTGGACACCTCTCAGGAGCAGGATGAAGGCGGCCTGGGGTCTCATGATGGTGGAGCTCGCTCCAGTAGCCTCTGATTGTTCTTCCCTGCTTCTTTTTGTTCCTTCATACTTTCCCCACAAAATCTGTCTTTTAAGGACTCAGAAAGGGAGTGGTGGGTGGAATACCCCAGCCCAGCCCCACATTATTGTGTCCACCAGTTAGGCCTAGTATCCGACACATTCATTAATTTCCAGCTCTGCATCTTCTGTTCTTAACAAGCACCATTTCAACAGTAAGTGGGGAAGGAGCTGTAAGGGGTGTGGGGGCAAAGTGTTGCCAGCTTAGAGCGGGTGTCGGAGGCATGGGGGAGTGGGAAAGGCCAGAGGCAATGCATGGAGTGGTCACATGCCCCCCACAACAAATGTTACGTGTCACCTCTTGTGTGTTCTCTTCTTTCTTCACGTTATTTCTTCTCTTTCCTATCCCTCTCCTTTTCCCTTCTGTCTAGTAAGAGTCTGGCCTAGCTGGCCAAGACTGCATATTTTGCAATACTGCTGTGAGCCTGTGCCCAGAGAGGAAATGAAAAGCAATGCCCTGAACAGCCCAAGGCTGGTACAAGTTTGCCAGGTATCAGAGTGGCTGATGGGACCATGTGCTGGGCCTGTGTTTTTCCAGCAGTGAGTTTGCAAGTGAAACTCAACACTAGAGACAGAAGCTGCATTTTTATCTTTGCTGTTCTTTTCTCTCCTCTTTTGTCTGTGTTTGTCCTGTTTTGTCTTCTTAGGAAATGGGGTCAGACTTTAGCAACAACAGCAGCTCCAGCCCAGCTCAACTAACTTCTCTTTTCTCTCCAAAGGACAGTTATTACCATGTTAATAACTCTTCTAAAAATGCTCTCCAGATAAAGGGAAAGGGCTGTTGTTAAAAAGAAAGCCTTGTTTAATGCTTTACATTTCAAAGGCTTTAACTGTTTTTCCTTCTTTTTCTGTATCTTTACTGAAAGGTTACAAAGACATTCAATGGTGTGTTTGCCATGTACTGGGCAGGCTGAGGTCTCTGTGTGTCAAACACTGAACCGTGTTTAATGCTGTTTCATGTTGGACAGTTTCAGAGTCATGTTCACACCTTTGACTCTTTGGGACCTGTGACCAGGTGGACTAGGCCCTGAGGCCCCCTGCTGGAGGCCTCGTGGGCCTGCCCCCCAGAAAAAAGCAATAGAAAGGTCCTCCAAGCTGACTGACAGGAACCGGGGGAGAGGAAGGAGCTGGCTGCTGGGACTCAACTAAGATGGGCCATGGGGAAGTGGCCCAGGGAAATGTAGAGCAGCAATTACTAAAGAGACGCAGCATGAAGCTGCTATACTTAAAAGGTTCCCTGGGTTGGGACCCGGAGCAGTGGGTGGGACTGGGAAGGGAGGGAATTAGAACTGGGGCACCCCACGGAAGCAGGCTACACTGGGACTGACTCAGCAGGGAGCTGTGGTCAGCGAACTGAGCCCAAGAGGGGTGGCTCAGGAGGAAGCTGGGGTCACTGAGGACTCAAGTACGGGCAAGGAGTTCCCAGGGAAGAAGCCCTTGGGGCACTGCTCTGTTCCAGAGTAGGAGCCTTGCAACCTAGCTGGACCAAGCAAGGATACCGTGATGGGCCCTGCTGGACTGGCTAAAGACTGAACCCAGGCAGGGCTGCAGAGGAGGACACACCAACTGAGGGTCCACGATGGGCCCTGCTGGACTGTTTTAGAAGACTGTGCCCAGGGAGGGCTGCAGGACACTGGGGACATTTTGGACTGTGTACCCCGGGAGTGGTTTGTTTGTTGCACACATGGAAAGAGTGAGACTCGGCCAGAGGGCTGCGTCACCAAAGACTTGCCTGAGGAGTGCAGTGGCCAACAGGGGGCACTGTGAGCAGAGGAAATTGAGAACACTGCAGGCGCGCACACACACACACACACACACACACACACTCGACCAGGGGTGCTTGTGAGAGGTGAGTGTACTCCGTTATAGGACCATCTGTTCCATCCACATTAACACAACACGCCCCAACAGCTTCAACAAGGAGTAGCCTGTCTCGCTGTTGCCCATTGACTGATGATGATTTTATTCTATTTTCTATCTGCAGTAGAATGGAACTCACTAAAAGGGAGGGGTCTGGCTGCTGCTAGAGTCACCTGGAACAGCCCAGTGTTTGTTTTGTGAATGATAGGATGGCCCCCCTCCATCTTCTCCCCTCTACCAGGAGCCTGCCTCTCTCTTCTGCCCCCTCCAATCTCAGCCATCTGTTTTCTAATGAATGAAGACAAGGGATCCCACTGTTAACACCACCTCCTTCCCAGAGCCAAGGGAGGAAACTGATCTCTCCACTCGCCAGCATGGCTGGGACAGGAAGAGAAACTGTTTGATTTCAGCAACCTCACAGGAGCATTACGCTACTATAACGCAATGCTCGTACTCCATAGGGAGAACACTTTTGTTCCACACACACTTAACTCATGGAGTTGGGCTTGTCACATGCCAAGTTCTTGTGCCTACATGTGCCACCAAGTAAGTGTCTTGCTGTACTCCATATCCCAGGGTACAGGGAGTGGGACAGATGTGCCCACTTGGCAGTGAATACTTCCTCTAATCCCAACACCCTCTCCTCTCATGCCATACAGAGATGCAAAAGAGACCTACCTGTAGAAAGCTGCATAGTCTTCCCATACCCAGCTGCTGAAGACATGGCCTGACCCAGGGCTTGGTTAGAGCCCAGAGGTTGCTGAGTGCTGGAGGGTTTGCTAGATGTAGCGGCTCGCTGCTTTGATTTGGAATCTTTGACGGGTTTAGTCCAGACCAGACTCTCCCCCGCCTGCAGGGCAGCTCCCACCTTCTGGGCCACATCCACCATCTTCTCATGCAACAGAAAGAAACAGAGGAGAAAATCACCACCAGGAACACTTTTGGCAGGAGCCAGGGCAGCAGCGCCTGTTCAAGCGGGGACCACTATGCCTCAGCTTCCATCTGTGGGCTTTAGCAGCAGCTTCACTCTAGAGCTGGGCTTAAAGCAATGGCCGTGACCAGCTTGAAGGGAACGTGACACACAGGGTAAGGGTTTCCCAACAGGAGATGGCAACGCACAGTGGCCTCCACTCTGGTGGTAGGCGGCGGGAGTAAATGGTGCCCCTCGCTGAAGGTGCACAGCCTGCCTTTCTTGAAAAAGAATGCAATACACTACACTCAGCCCTGAGAAACCTGGGTGAGGAGGAGCTGATTGTGAAGGTTTCAGATGAGGTCACTGACTTCTTCCCCAAATCTCAACACTCAGAGGATGGGAGCTGGAAGGAGACACTGCATTCTGTTTCTTACCAGGAGCTACGAGCTCAGATTCCAGTGTCACAATACACTTCACAGAGTTACACATAACTGGCTAGCGCAGCCACAGTGCTGTAGAGAAGCACAGCTCTGACAATCCATTCGCTTCAGAAAGAATCCTGACTTTTTGTTCATAGACTGAAAAGCCTATTTTAACAGCAGAGATGAAGCAAGTAGCTTTCACTGGGCACCTGGTTCAGCTAGGTGCGTCTAGATAACTGACCCATTCTCTATTAACTGGACTCTGGTCCCAAAAGGTATAGGGACCCTCCTGCTCACTCGATACCACTCGGGGTTTGTTTATGTGGTGGGTTACATGCTGTACGGAAGCGTAGTTTCCGAAGAGCACTGAAAGGTTCACATTAATTCGGCCATGCAGATCCTCCTGAGGCACAGTGAAGGTTCCCTAATGGTTCTGAGCCAGTTAGGATGCACTTCAGAACCTTTAGAGACCCTTCAGTGTGCCCAGCAGGGTCTACTAAGACCAATTAATGCACCACATATCAGTGCACTCCAGAAATCCCCCCATCCCCATACAGCACATTACCCCACCATGCAGACAAGACCTCTTACAGCACGGGATCACCAGCTACTTGCTTCCAGCTGGCTGTTCTTATTAACGTACCTCAGGATCAAAGTCGAGAGCGCTGTTCTCCTTCAGGGCATTGACCTTCTTCTCCATCTCGTGGTATTGGCATAGTGCTCCCTTCTTATCCCCCTGGTTGTAGAGCAGCACAGCGTAGTTCAGATTGACCAGGGGATTACACCTGCAGCAGATAGCCCACAGGATCAGTAACATACACTGCCAAGAGTAACATTCTTAAATCTCAGGTGAGAACCTATTCTGATACTAGCACTGTGCCGAGCTGGCTACACCCAGCAAAGCTGGAGATCCCATGCTACACAGACTAAACCAAACAGCCTCCAGGTACTCTGCATATAACCATGGCAACCTTCCTGGGAAGCAAGTGCTCAGAGCGATGCAGTAAGATTGCTCTAGTGTTACCGTTAAGGTTGTTCAGCTGTTTCTAGTTGAAGCCCCTGGTTTCTGCTGCTCCTAACCTTTCAGGCTGACATGTAATGTTCCATGCTTGATCTCTGCTGGAAAGCAAGTTGTTTTTGAAAGACCGAGCACATCTGGTTCAGCAATTCTGAAGTAGGAAAAATAATACACTTTCCTCACCCACTAAAAAATTGTGCAACATTTGGGATGAGCTCTACAGGCAAAACGGCTGGCGCTATCCCTTACAGTGGGGTGCAGGAATGGCCCCAGAGAGACAGCGTGCATGAGTGTGTTCTGGCTAAGAGTGGGTTTGCTGCAGAGCAAATAGAGAACACCAGGGCAGGGTGAGCTTCTGTGCTTCTTGGCAGGTGTGTAGCTATGGAGGCAGCTGGGGAAGCCTGTCTGATAGGGGAGCCATGAACACAAATTGGGTTTGTGTGCACAGTTGTATACAACTTACTCCAAAATGGCAGCAGGCACCCACCAGTTTGGTGGGGAAATTTTGTGCTCAGTGAACTTTGTGCACTGAGCGAGTGAACTATTCCACGCAAACCTGGTTTCAATGTTAATGGCTCCTCCGACTGCTTAGCCTCCTGCTAAAGTCCCTCTCTCCAAGCTAAACCTGGTTGGCCAAGTGTCTTTGTACCCGAGGACCATCCAAGGACCACTGGAGGGAAGCCCCACTGTTGCATTCCTTAGCAGATCTGCAGCTGGAGTAAGTGCCTGTAAGTGGTGCTTGGAGCTGCACTGTGCGGCACCTTTGTACAAATTTCCTCCATGTCTCCCACCCTCTGCCCCTGGGGGAGCTGAGTGAATTGGCAGCTGCGAAGTCAGGCTGCTTGTCAACAGGAAGAGGTAGGAAGCATCCTATGGACCCCTTGTCTGAACACCCGCAAATCTTAAAGTGCACAGTGGTTCAGTGTGGGGGGGATTTTACACTGTGCTGGGAGAGTCCTCCTCTGATCCATATAAGTCTTCCGCTGCTCTGAAGATTTGCAGGAGAAGGGCTCTCTCCTCACAACTGTGGGACAAGACAAGCTGGTGGCATAAGGCCACACAGTTCCAGGTTCTGGAACTGACACATGCCGCTGACAGTGTTTGACAAGCCAGCAGAGCCTCAGGATGCTGCAGAACAAAGCTCTCACATCCTTTTTTCCCCATCTTCCTTCCCTTCCACCCCAAAAGTCTGTAAGAAGTTCCATACAAGGACAATGTTAAAAATGTGTCAAAGATTAACTTTGCTCCTTTATGTGTATACAGTCTAAGAGAAATAGTCGGTGGTCCTGTACCTGAGGACTGTCTTAATGTGTGTGCACAAAGAGGCACCGTCACTGTGGCATTCCCTGATGTCGGAGTGCTGTGCGTTGCGGTCCTACCACTCTCTGGATGCAATGCTGAGTGTTTATTTCAGAAACGCAGTTTGGCTCGCAGAATTCTCAGTCTCCAAAACTTCCAGGCTCTTAGTTAACGCACAGTAACCCCATGCAGTACCTTTCCCTCTGGCAGTCCCTGCAGTGCTCTGACAGTGCCAGTTGTGTGGGCAAGCTAAACGAGCGAAACAGTTGACTCCCTCTGCTCTCTGTTTGTTTATGGACATCAGTGGCCAGGTCCCCTTTCTTCCTTGAATAGATAACGCAGCTTACATTCTAACTGAGATTCCCACATTTTGCCTGAGGGCTGCACTGACAACTCACTAGGAGTCTGAACTTGGCACAATCTTTGTACAAAACTGAGCAAAGTGACTGCCTCCTTGTGGATACAAACAGGTGATCCACTGGGACAACAGGTCCCAGCAGGCAATGCTCTGTCTTGATCCAAGTGGCCTGATGCTTGCAGTTCATTCTGACTTGCAGGCTGAGAGATAGAGAGCCATGGGCTGTGTTTGGCCAGGCCTTCTTTAGAACCAAAATCACCTTCCAAGGGGAGGGAGACTAATAAGCGAGTGGATTAGAGGCACAATTTATAGTTGTACTTCTCCCCCAGGGAGGATGACCTTGCATGTAAGAGCAAGGATGAAGCATCTGCATCTATCGCAACACATGCAGAGCAAGTGGGCAGTGCTTCTGAACGTTGATCAATAAAGTCACGTGAGGGGGCTGGCACCCAGTCCCGGTGTGAAAAGAGGCTGTTGGTGCTGGCCAAGGAGACCAGCACCTTTATTTTCTTCTACAAGACAGAGGCCACGCTCTTTGTGAAAGGTTCGAGTGCTAGAGACTGAAGCTTTGCAGACATTGTCTGATAAGCAGCAAATCAGACTGTGTGCAGACCATGACCAGTGTTCCCTCTAATTTTTCCCACCCATGTGCAGAATAAATTTTGTTATGTGCACCAATAGGGAGGTGATGTGTGACCCATCACCTTCCTATTGGTGCACATAACAATTTCATGTGGTGGGGTGGGGATGAGGGGTTCAGAGTGTGGGAGGGGGCTCAGAGTTGGGGTGCAGGGTGTGGGTTGGGGTGTGTGAGGGCTCTGGCTGGAGGTGTGGGCTCTGGGGTGGGGCCGGGGATGAGGGGCTCAGTGCTGGGGAAGAGGGTAGAGGTGCGGGGCTGAGGGCTCTGGCTGAGGGTGCGGGCGATGAGGGGCTCAGGGCTGGGGCAGAGGGTAGGGACACTGGGTGGGGTGAGGGTTCCAGCTGGGGGTGCAGGCTCTGGAGTGGGGCTGGGGATGAGCGGTTTGGGATGCACTAGGGCTCCCTGGGGCTACGGTGGAGAGAGCGGACTCCCCCCACCCCGGTTCTGTCTCCCCGCAGCAGCACCTGGGCTCGGGGGGAGAGGCACCTCTCCCCCGGCTACGGCAGGTCCGGGCCGGGTCAGGGGCACGTCCCCCAGCCGCGGCAGGTCCGGGGCCGGGGCCAGGCTGGGGCACCTGTCCCCCAGCCACGGCAGGTCCAGGGCTGGGCTGGGTGGGGGAAGGGGGAGGGGCGCCGCAACAGGTCTGGGGCTTGAGGAGAGGCATCTCTCCCTGCCGCAGCCCTGAGCGCCAGCACGTTGTATAATAGGCAGCTGCGCAGCTGTGCAGCTTAGCAGGAACTTAGGCCATGACTATGTGTCATGGGTAAGGAATGCGACAATGCCGTAACAAAGGAGACTGTTAAAAAAGTGATCTGATCGTGTTTAGGAGAGGAATTATTTCAGCTCAGTACCAATGTGGACACGAGAACAAATGGATATAAACTGGCCGTCGGGAAGTTTAGGCTTGAAATTAGACGACAGTTTCTAACCGTCAGGGGGGTGAAGTTCTGGAACCGCCTTCCGAGGGAAACAGTGGGGGCGAAAGACCTCTCTGGCTTTAAGATTAAGCTTGATAAGTTTATGGAGGGGATGGTTTGATGGGATAACGGGATTTTAGTCAATAGGTCAATAACGTGCCATCGCAGGTAATTAGTATCAATGGTCAATGCGGGTCTGGCTGGAGAATCTTGCCCACATGCTCGGGGTTCTGCTGATCGCCATATTTGGGGTCGGAAAGGAATTTTCCTCCAGGGTAGATTGGCAGAGGCCCTGGAGGTTTTTCACCTTCCTCCGCAGCATGGGGCAGGGGTTGCTTGCTGGAGGATTCTCTGCGACTTGAAGTCTTTAAATCATGATTTGGGGACTTCAACAGCTGAGTCAAGGGAGAGAATTATTCCAGGAGTGGGTGGGTCAGCTTTTGTGGCCTGCATCATGCGGGAGGTCAGACTAGATGATCATAATGGTCCCTTCTGACCTTAAAGTCTATGAATCTTATTAATTTCCTTCAACACAGAAGCTATTTCTAAAGAACTGATCCCATATCTAAAAACCTCACTGCCTCTGTCAGAGCCCAGGAAATAGATACACCGTGGAGAACAACATTTATGCAAAAAACACTGGGGTGGGGGTAAACGAGAGCTGATTTAGATGAGCTGTCTCCAAAGAGCAGAGAAGGAAGTGGACAGGTAAGACAATCATTATTTAAGGAAGCAATGGGAGAAAGGAGACCCGTATATTAGCCACTGCCAGAAAGAGGAGACATCTTTTATAAAGACACCCACAAGCTCCTTTTCTTTCCAGACCTCAGTCTGGCACCCAGGGCAAATATCACGCTGCTGCTGCTGCTATAAAAATTATTTATGGAGATGGAAACAGAAACTGTAGTCATCTCCCCAGACAAACTGTGTGAGATATGCCAGAAGAGAATATCCGTGGGAATGGGAAAACTGGAGAAAGTACAAGGGATGTCAACTGAACAAACCACAGAGATCCAAGGCTTAAACAGCCTGAGTTTGCCTCCCAGCAATCAATGGCCGTTGGCTTTAATGTCAGCTTTTATGCGGTTTTGTTTTTCTGCTAATTCTACATGGCTGTGGCATCATAAGAGTGCCAGGTAGTTAGGCAGCGTTTGTAAAGCTGAATTCTAATTCATGCGCTTTGATCTACCCACAGAACACACTACCAAGCAGCCAGAATGCGCTCCTTAACTCATCTGATCCCCTGACAAATCACAGAGGGCTTAGATTCTGAAAGCTGGGAGAAAGATAAAGGACTTGGTGGGCAGTGAATTTGGTTTGAATGCTTGTTTCAGACATGCAGCGTGCTCCCTTATTGTGGGTATATTGTGTAGTGTTCACAAGTTACCTATGACATGTTATTGGCAAAGGTGCAGTTCTACTCTGAAAAGCAACTCAGTAAAAAGAGCACAGTGGGGAACTGTGTATCTTGTCTCTCAATACCTCCTGTCTAAATGTACTCAGTTTATGAGCTTTCAAACAGCCTTGCAAATTCTCATCGGGTTCCCTAAGTCAGCCTGAGATTTTCCTCCCTACAACTCTTCATAAGTAACATTATGCAGGCCCCATTTCTTCAATGAGATTGCATGGTTGTAGTGGAAACTGAGGGCAGGATTTGTCCACATGATTTGACCACAGTTAACAATTCTGCTGATGCATGATTGGGAAGAGACTCCAGCTGTCTCTCCCAGTGCTGTGTAGGGCTAATAGGGGAAAGAACTTTGCTACTAAAGCGAGCAGGTCAAATCTCAATATATATGTGCTGAGTGAGGGGCTGTGTCCACGGTCACTTTGCAGAGCACAACTGCACTAAAATATCAAACGTGTTTAAAACCCTGTTGTTCTTTTTATAGGCTTTGGGACTTCTATCATTTCTAAGGCTCCACAGAGGAAAACTACCCGTCACCACTGCCATCCAGCTCTTGAGAGAGGAGACTAAAAGACTGGTGCTGTGTGGTTCACCTTGTGGCCATTACAGATTAAATGTTTACCATTAGTGATGGCTCTCCTTATAGCCCTATTATCAGTATTAACATAATGCCTAGAGGCCCCAACCAAGATCAGGGCTCCATTGCCGTAGGTGCCGAACGTAGACCTAATGAGAGATGGCCTCTGCCCTGAAGAACTTACGATCGAAAGAGACCAGAGGGACAAAAAGGGAAACAGATGAGCAGTGGGGGAGAAGCGGCTTGCCCAAATGACCATCAGGATTAAGACTTACTGGTCCAGCGCTACAGCTTGCTCATAGGATCGTTTAGCATTCTCAGCATCTTCGAGGTTTGTCAGAGCCACTGTCCGAAGAAACACAGGAACACAAATAAGCTCACTAGCAATGCAAAGCCTCCAATGCACTCCTCAGAAATGGATTTTTCTGCTTTCCCAGGCATAGAGCCTATTTGCAAAGGATAGTTCTGAATGTCAATGCTTTATTCCACTGCTCTTGGAGCCCCTGCATCAGAATCAGGAACAGCAATGGCACCTCCAGAGAAACGGATTTTAAACTGTTTAGCTAGCTGAAAGCATGGGACAAACATTCTTGAGTTAGAAGGTTCCTATTAAACCTGTCAATCAAGATTTTTGTAGCTAGCTATGCCCACTCCACGGCATGCCTTGCTTATATGCAGAAACCAATACCACTATGAACACCTCCCACACCCAGCCAACTGCAGTAAAGAAAGTAAATGGAAAGAAAATGGTGAATTCTCTGTAACTTGAAGTCTTTAAACTATGATTTGAGGACTTCAAGCGACAAAGAGTCCTGTGGCATCTTATAGACTAACAGACGTATTGGAGCATAAGCTTTCGTGGGTGAATACCCACTTCGTCAGACGCATGTGGTGGAAATTTCCAGAGGCAGGTATAAATATGCAGGCAAGAATCAGTCTAGAGATAATGAGGTTAGTTCAATCAGGGAGGATAAGGTGCCTCTTCTAGCAGTTGAGGTGTGAACACCAAGGGAGGAGAAACTGCTTTTGTAGTTGTCTAGCCATTCACAGTCTTTGTTTAATCCTGAGCTGATGGTGTCAAATTTGCAAATGAACTGAAGTTCAGCAGTTTCTCTTTGGAATCTGGTCCTGAAGTTTTTTTGCTGCAGGATGGCTACCTTTAAATCTGCTATTGTGTGTCCAGGGAGGTTGAAGTGTTTTGAGAATGCTTGGTGAAGATCTTGTAGGTGTTGATCTCTGTCTGAGGGGTTGGAGCAAATGCGGTTATATGCGCTTGGCTGTAGACAATGGATCGTGTGGTGTGTCCGGGATGGAAGCTGGAGGCATGAAGGTAGGCATAGCGGTCAGTGGGTTTTCGGTATAGGGTGGTGTTAACGTGAACATCACTTATTTGCACTTATTTGACCAACACCTACAAGATCTTTACCAAGCATTCTCAAAACTATGATACCCGCACAAGGAAATAAAGAAACAAATCAACAGAGCCAGATGTGTACCCAGAAGCCTCCTGCTGCAAGACAAGCCCAAGAAAGAAACCAACAGAACTCCACTGGCCATCACCTACAGTCCTCAGCTAAGACCTCTCCAACGCATCATCAGTGATCTACAACGCATCCTGGACAACAATCCCTCGCTTTCACAGGCCTTGGGAGGCAGGCCAGTCCTCGCCCACAGACAACCCGCCAACCTTAAGCATATTCTCACCAGCAACCACACACCGCACCATAGTAACTCTAACTCAGGAACCAATCCATGCAACAAACCTCGATGCCAACTCTGCCCACATATTTACACCAGTGACACCATCACAGGACCTAACCAGATTAGCCACAACATCACCGGTTCATTCACCTGCACATCCACCAATGTAATATACGCCATCATGTGCCAGCAATGCCCCTCTGCTATGTACATCGGCCAAACTGGACAATCCCTACGTAAAAGGATAAATAGACACAAGTCAGATATTAGGAATGGCAATATACAAAAACCTGTAAGAGAACACTTCAACCTCCCTGGACACACAATAGCAGATTTAAAGGTAGCCATCCTACAGCAAAAATAACTTCAGGACCAGACTCCAAAGAGAAACTGCTGAACTTCAGTTCATTTGCAAATTTGACACCATCAGATCAGGATTAAACCAAGACTGTGAATGGCTAGCCAACTACAAAAGCAGTTTCTCCTCCCTTGGTGTTCACACCTCAACTGCTAGAAGAGGGCCTCATCCTCCCCGATTGAACTAACCTCATTATCTCTAGACTGATTCTTGCCTGCATATTTATACCTGCCTCTGGAAATTTCCACCACATGCGTCTGACGAAGTGAGTATTCACCCACGAAAGCTTATGCTCCAATACGTCTGTTAGTCTATAAAGTGCCACAGGACTCTGTCGCTTTTTACAGATCCAGACTAACACGGCTACCCCACTGATACTTGAGGACTTCAGTAACTCAGCCAGAGGTTATGGGTCTATTTCAGGAATGGAGGGGGGGAGGGGTGTGAGGTTCTGTGGCCTGCAATGTGCAGGAGGTTAGACTAGATGATCATGATGGTTCCTTCTGATCTTAAAGTGTATGAGACCAGAAGTTGAGTCCCAGTCCCAGAAAGAAGAGAGACATTAGCTATCTGTCTGGATTTTAGGCATCCTGCAATTAAGCTACCTGCTCAAAGTTAGGGCTTCTATACAGGTTACCCAGTGGCGGATTTAGAGTTAGTAGGGCCCTGTGCTCAGCTTCATTTTTGGGACCCAGCCAAGAAAAAGAACATTCTCTCTTATCTCCCTCCGCCCGTTTTTCATTTTATTTTCTTCATCCTCCTCTTATAAGTAATAAGAAGTAAATGAAAATAAAGTGAGGTACCTTGATTGTTTTTGTACTCTAACTTATTTTTCCACAGACCACTTGAAAATCACTGAGTGTCTCAGTGGACCACTTAATGATCTTTCCAAATATTGTTTGTACCGTTAGCTAACTATTGTAAAGCGCTTTGGATAAGAGCGTTTTATTAAAAAAAAAAAAAAAAATGTAAAAAAACACATTGGGGTGCAGGGTCTGGCCACGAGTTAGGGTGTGGGAGGGGGCACAGGGCTGGGGCAGGGAGTTGGGGTATGGAGCGCTTACCTGGGGCAGGTCCCGTTTGGTGTGAGGGGTGCAGGTGGGGTTGTGTGCAGGAGTCAGGGTGGGCAGGGGGGCTGCAGGAGTCAGTGAAGGCAGGGGGCTGGGAGCGTGAGAGGGGGGTGCAGGAGTCAGGGTTGGAGGTGCAGGGTCTGGGAGGGAGTTAGGGTGCAGGAGGGGGCTCAGGTCTGGCCAGGAGTTAGGATGCAGGAGGGGGCTCAGGGTTGGGGTGTGGAGCACTTGGGCAGCTCCCATTTGGTGCGAGGGGTGCAGGTGGGAATGTGGTGGGGAGTGCAGGAGCTCCTGTTTGGTGCTCAGCAGGGATGTAGGGGGGTGCAGGAGTCAGGGCACAGGGTGTGGGGGGGCTGGGTGTGTGCGAGAGGGGTGCGGGAGTCATGGCTGGGGGTGCAGGGTCTGGGAGGGAATTAGGATGCAGGAGGGGGCTCAGGGTTGGGGCAGGAGATTGGGGTGTGGAGCGCTTACCTGGGGCAGCTCCCATTTGTTGCAAAGGGGTGCAGGTGGGAAAGTGGAGGGGGGGCAGGAGCTCCCGTTTGGTGCTAAGGGTGGGGATGTAGGGGGGTGCAGGAGTCAGGGAGGGCTGGGGGTGGGGTGATGCAGGAGTCAGGGCAGGGGGATGGGGTTCTGGGGGTGCTTCCAGCCCCCTACCCCGAGTGGCTCACAGCAGCGGGTTGGGGGGGCATGTGTAGGGTGAATGCGGGGGCCACACCTTTGCCCTGCCCTGCCCCGATTCCATCCCCTTCCCCAAGGCCCAGCCCCCGCCTCCTCCCCTGAGTGTGCTGTGGCCCCGCTCCTCCTCCTCCCTCCCAGAGCACCGGCAAACAGCTGTTTGGCGGCGGGGGAAGTGGCACGCTCGGGGAGGAGGCGGGGGAGGGGAGAGCTTGGCTGCCAGTGGGTGCGGAACCTGCAGCAGGACCCCAGGAGCCGGCAGGACCAAGCTTCTGCCCCCGCAGCTGCCCGGCCCTTGGGCCCTCTGTCGTTGGGGGCCCCCATGCTAGGGCACCCTGTGTTTTACTGTAAATCCACCTCTGAGGTTACCCAGGTCGTTAAATCTCCCAGCGCCTCTGCCAGAGTAGAGATAACAAGGTGAATCCCCCTCTTGAATGTACACAATTCCCTTACCACTGGAGTTGCAATGCGTGGTTTCTCGTTTTTCTAACCTTGGATTTAGTGCTGGTGAGGAGTGCCAGACTGAGGATACCACAGAAACCCCAGTGCTCTAATCACAGAAGTCATTGCATGAGCAGCACCAGTGCAAACTTCTCTGCATCACCCCACAACGGTCCTCCCACAAAAGCTGGGACCAGCCCATGGTGGTTTGGGGGGGGGGGGACATACACACTAGTCTATAACAAGAACTGTATTTCGGCGAGTGAGAAGGCACTGACTTTTGGTCACTGCTGATCTGATTTCAAACCAGTCCATGACCTGGTGATGTAAAACTTTTGAATACCAGAGTGCTGAGTTATCCAGTCTCAGATAACAACTTGCATCACCTCTTGCTTTCCCACCTTAAAATCCGATATTTCCCAAAGACTATATTCATGCAGCTCTGTGGGGTAGGAGTAAGGGGAGAGGGCAGAAGGGAAGGGTCATTTACCTGCCAGGAGCATGTAGAGCTCTCCCATCCGGGGCTGGAAGTTGACAGCGGCGCTGAGAAAGTGGAAAGCAGATGCATACTGCTGCATTGTCAGGTGGACTAGCCCCAAATTGTACAGAATCTTCCAGTCAAAGGGAGCTAAATAATTGGCTCGCTTCAGGCAACTAATAGCCTGCAAAGAGGAACAACATTGCTAGTAACATGCCTTGAGTGGTCAAGACTTTCTCCAGTCTCCGCCACAGAGGGAGGATCCTTGTTTTATATTTGTTCTTACACAAATCAAATTAAATATAGATGGAAATGGAAGGGAACCAGGCACTTACTGCCACGTATTTCTTCTTGCCGAAGAAGCACATTCCAATGTTGTTCCATAATGGGGGGCTTTCAGGCATGGTGTAGGCTACTACCCTGTACTTGGTGAGGGCTACATCAAAATCACCGTGAGTCTGCATCATACTGCCAGCTGCCAAGATAGCCTTCAAAAGAACTCGACAGTGAGTGGTTGAGGCACTGAGCTTCCCCAAACATGGTGAGGAGAAAATGCTATAAAGTTATTAAACTAAAAACAGGCCAATGGTCTGAGTGAAGATTCTCTTTGGGGAACTCTGCTAGAGAATTGAGAACAACTGGGAAATCTACATCCTGGCTAGGAGAGGGCAGGGCATTGGAAAGGGTCCCACGCTTCCCACATTCTCTTTCCTGATCAACGTGGCTAATAAATGCTGCATCCTGACTAGCTAATACTCTTTCAGTGATTCACAATAACAGCTTCCAGAAGTCTGGGCTCAAAAAGGTCCAGATACTAATTGTTTCTTTTATATGACAAACTGGAACAGAAACCTTCCCAGGGCAACTTAAGGGGAGATGAAAACATTCCTTAACTCCAAGGCATATACAGCAAATCCTGGACAGTTCACACTACTGGCTGAGGGTGACAGCAAACTACTGAACATATGTGATTAAAAAGAAAATCAAAGATACTGCATCAAAATTAACTTAGTTTAAACTAAACTACATTTGTCCAATAAATTATTTGTAATACTTCTCAGCGAGCTGGCGTAAAGTCTGGAAAAGTAATGTAGTCTTCATAATAATAATACTTGGTTTGTATTTATTCATTGCTTTGCCATCCATAGATCTCAAAATGATTTACATTATCCCCATTATTCAGATCCCATCCTCAACTAGCTAGACCAAAGTTACACCCCACTATAGCTGGGAGAGAGACCGTGTATGAATTATGATCTTTGCAGGAATGATGTTCCACCACACCATCCTTATTCACTTGTGTCTGTGTTCTGCTCCAGAAAGTCGCAGAGGTACACTGAATTCCCAGGAACGTGGTGCACAGCTCTTGTGATGAATTGCAAGAGTTTGAAGTAATAAGTTAGAGAAAAGCAATTTCCATTTGTTAAAAATTCTTGTATGGAAAATATATGAAACTTTCCATTAAAAGCAAATAGGCCCCATAGATAACATCCTCTATCCTCATCAGATGGAGGTCACAGAAATGCGTTTTGGAACAAGCTTTTTGGGAGCATTGCCCCCTTTTCAGCCCATGCTCTGGTACTGGGGATATTTTACACAAGAATTAGTTTTTACGGGCCTGTCATCCTTAAATCGGCTTGTATATATTCTTTATGGTACCTTATAATTGGTGGGATCATATGTAAGTGCATTTCCAAGATGTTCAAATGCCTTCTGATAAACCCCAAGCTGGGAAAAGACAAACGAGTGTCAGAAATGCAGGCACAGAAGGGTTAAACATGCAGATAACAAACAGTGCTTTTGGTTATCACTTAAAGTAAGAGATTCAGAAGAGTTAGCTTTATTCTGTTGCAGTTACATTCTCACGTGTGCAGTGTTCTTACTTCACAATCCACAACCAGCCGGAACAAAACGGATTCCTCTGATAACAGAGGGAACACAACTCAACCCGATGCAGACTGTCTAGCCCAGTAAATAGATTTCTATATAGTTGTGTTGGGGAATAAAAACTATCTGGAGAGTTTTTTCTACAAAGAAGCAGGGACTGACTTCCTGAGCACCATCAGCCACAGAACAGATTCCCTGACCACTTTTCCTCCCTCCCTATGCTCTCCACAGCACCCTCCCCTGGACAGAAATGCCCCAAAGTCTATCTGCTTAGACTGCCCTCAACTACTGAAGTCAATGGGACTTGAGTGCTCAGCAGCACTGCAGGCCCATACAGCAGTGAGGCTAACCCTGATCACATACTTAAGTCCCACTGGATTCAATGGAGATACTCAGGAATTACACTGGTATAATTAAAATATAAATTCAACCTATGGTATCTCGTGTTGGTCCATGAATTTATTCAAACTCCATTACCTTCCTCCTCCCCCACAACTGCACCAGTGCCTATTGACAGAAGGGATCTAACCCTGCTGTGATTCATGGAGACAATCAAGACTGGCAAGGTATTTGGAGTGAATTTTGGAGTCCAGGGATGTGACACACCACAAACAAGGGAAGTCACAGTGTGGACAGCTGTGCAAGTTTCTGCCCATGCTACTCTGCCCAAGCACCATACTTTGCTCTGCCTCTCCTGCTCCCTCCACAGCTCTACTGATGTCCTTCAATCTTGGCCTGCAGCCCCCTTGAGCAAAGGATGACAGCTGTACCAAATACTGCAATGAGGAGGTAGTTTGGGAGACAGATGATCTTTCGCTCATGACCCAAGTCCCTAGTGATAAACGTGCCTGTGTTATTTAAATCAATTCCAATTTTCTCCAAGGTGCATTAGTGTTAAACAATTTCATGGCTGCTTTTCTAGGAGAATAACTCGCTAAGCTCCATCCCCAGAAACAAGGTAATGACTAGTCATGTTTTATTGTACTTGGGAGAATGAGTAACACAATTAGGGCAGTAGCCAAACAGAATTCCTGCTCTGGCTCAGAACCAGAAAATCAAGTTACTCCCCTTCGGGAGCCAAATGAGAAAAGAAGAGACAGAGGAGCAAGCTCCATCTTGTCTGATGTGGCCTTTTGAGAAATATGTCAAACTCACATGGAGATGAATAGAAATTTACTCCATATGCAACTGCCAGGCCATTTAAAATATAATTAGGTCCACATAGTAGCAACAGTGTTTAATACCTGCAAATAGAGTAAACCCAGGGTCGTAAGGAGCTCTGTGTTTTCTGGAGAAAACCTGAAATACAAAACCCAAAGTTTTACAATGTCTTGGCAGTACTAATACAAGGTGATGTATGGAACCCCTGAGACTCCACTCAATGTAAGAAATATCCCTCTGACTACTGCTAATATAACCAACTAATATCACCCTCACCACCACCACGTGGTGTTTATGGCACGTGTTATATCTGAGCACCTCAAAATGTTTTACAAAAATTAATCTCTCCTCATGCCCCTCTGGGAAGTAGGTAGTATTTTATGTGCGTAAAATGAAGTGCAGGAGGTTAAATGACTTGCTTAAGATCTCTCAGTGAGTCAGTATCAGAGCTGGAAACTGATCTGCTTTAACCACAAGGTTACCTTTCCCAAGGCAGAATGCAGGCGATAGCTTTGTGGTTGATGGGTAACATACACTACCCCATTCAGCTGAACGGAGAACAACACTGACTCACCCAAAATGGACACTTACAATGAAAGTGTCACGTGTTTTCAATTGCAGTTTGTGATTCCCAAGCCCTCACCTCTAACTCTACCTCAAGTACAGTTTTGTAGGCTCTTTAAAAAGCCTCCCCATTTTCAAGGCCTTTCAAGCAAATAATAAATATAATGAATAATGAGCAGCAAAGAGAGAAAAAGCAGGTTGGGGACACCACATACTAATGAACTAGCTGCTTATACAGAGAGTTAGGTTCCAAACTCCAGTTTGGAAGGTGCATTGTGCTAACACCTATATGTCTCAACCAGGTTGAAATCCCATTGTGCAAAGTGCTGTACAAGGAAAAAGCAAGGACTGTCCCTTTCTCAGAGTTTGGAATCTACAACAGGCAAGGCATACTTAGGTTGTAAGGTCTTTTTGTTCTCAGTTTGGTTATGATAATACAAATAATAAATTACACCACCACTGACAGGTGGATGAGAAACAGGAGAGGATTGGGTAACAAAAATAGGCTGCTTTAGCTCAGACTAGCTGTGTGCACAGTTCCAATGAACAGCAGTAATTGCCAGTAGTCTTTCCTGGATATTTGTCCACTATGCAAAACCACTGCTATTTTAGCTGGTGTGGGACAATGCAGATCAGGATTGAGGGACTGGGCTGGAAAACTCACAGCACCAGCCTGGCTCTAGCCTCACTTTTAGACCCTCACTTTCATGCACCAAAAATTCACCCAGTGAAGTATATAACAATCCAGTAAGTTCAAAATGGTCGTTGATTGCTCACTGCTCTTGCCAACAGTAAAGCTGTGACAGTCGTGAATAGCAATCATTCAGCTCTGTGTTTCAGGCTTTAGCACATGAATCATGGGATTTGAGAAGGGGATTTTGTATACATTTGCTCCAGCACCTCCATTCATGTGTCTTCCACTCTTCTCTTGGCAAGGGCTTCAAAGAGGTACCTCTGTCCCTGACACATTGTCAGCTGGAGTAAGAGTACTGCAGCCAAGATCAGAGATGGTCACACAGCTGGGAAATTCCAGATCTGCCCAGAAGCACTGTCATTTTAAAAACATAAGACACATTCCTGAATTCACCAATCAAAATTCTCCTAAGAGGTGGGGGGATGAAATTCTTACTCCACTGCTTTCTTATAGACTTCGATGGCTTTGTCGGTCTCCCCTTGCAGCAGGTGAATTTTTCCCAGCATCATGTATGTCAGATCATGCCTGTTGAGCTTCAAGGCATCATTCAGCTGGTCTTTCGCCTACACACAAAACCACACACAGAACAGAGAGAGTAAAATCAATGTGGTTGCAGAGTTCACAGTGAAGCAATGACCCAAAAACTGTCAGCTGTGAGCACCAACCCTCGTGTTACTACATGGAGAGAAAAGGGATCAAAGGCTCCAGCCAAGCTTGAAGAATCTTATTATAAAGGCCCAGCCTATGAGGTGGTTGTTGAAATAAGCTCTGCAACAGGAGTCATGAGTTTTTAGGGAGAACACTTCAAAGTTGAGCACTTCAAGCCAAAGCAAAACATATTTATCTGCCAAGAGAGTACAGAGGCCTGTTTGTTCCTGTACGGTATCCGAGATCCCTTGGGGGCTGCGAAGTTTGTTACCTTAACATATGCATTTACAGTTCACTTCTCTGCAAAATGCTCATGCTAGCAATGAGCCAGGATTGCCATGTAAATGCAGAAAGAATTCATCAGCTCTAGCCAGGCACACGTAAATCCCCTCCAATGGGGAACACTTCCAAACTCTTGTTACTATAACATCTTCCTCTTCCTCCCAAGCTGAGCCAGTGGGAGGGCAATAAAAGTTTGCAGCTTTCTAGCACATGGCACATTAAAAGAAGAGATGCTGACAAGGTAAAAGACAGAAACAGCCAGCAGTCTCCAGGGGCTTCATTATATTTTATAGGTCCATGTGATGTTATGTAAGAAGTATGCACTCCCCAGAGGTAAGGCTGTCAGACTAATGGGACACTTTATAGCATAACAGGTCCCAAATTTGAGATACCTTTTTCTTTCAAACGTAGTCTCATATACATATATTTTCCCCATAAGCCAAATGAATGAACAGACATCATCACAGATGGCAGGTCCCAGATATGGACCTACCTTCTAAACATCTCGCTGTTGCTTTGCAATGACAGGGAAAGGAGTATGAGTAGAGCCCTGCACACCTGTGGATGCGGACATCCGCGGACCATGTTTGCAGATTGCGGATCAGATGCAGATACAAATTTTGTATCCGTGCAGGGCTGTAAGTATGAGCTCAACACAAGGATTGCAGTATTCTTAATAGAAGCAGTTTTAAAGGAGGCCTGACCTAAGTACAACCTAGCTGTGATGCCGACTGTAACAGATACAGTGAGTCCACCACCCTGCTTGATGGTGCACTTGCATTGTGTAATTCAATACTGATTTTAAGATGAATAGAGCTCCCACCTGAGGCAGCAGACAATATTTAATCTCTGCCAGGGATTGATTGGTAAGAGAATTTTTACATTTTTAGAGGCGGGGAGTGGGAAGATAAAATTGGGAACCAATCGTTCCCTTGAAATGCTGTGTTTTCCATCTCAAATGGACACCTCACAAAATCAACACCAGCAGCTCAGTCCTCATCAGGGGAAGCCATGCAGTGACATCTAAGTTAGTAGCATAAAATGACATGTTTGGAGGGAGTGCAAGGGGATCGAGAGTCCAATTTCAAATTTCCTAGGTGTTCTTTTATTAGTTGCTAAGCGCCAGAAGCACTGCCAATGCATCCACCCCCCATTCAGCCACTCCACAGCAGTGGGGCTGCTCTGTGACCTCTGCTCCAGGCTTCCTGTGGGAGTAGCTTCCACACCACTAGCAAGCCCATGCCATGGAGGCAGGGAAAAGAGGTGAGCCCCTCCAGCTCAGCTGCTCTGCAGTGTACAGGACCCCTTGGTACCTCCAACATGGAATCTCCAAATCCTGCCCTTAGCCCTGTGCAGAGCCCTTCCTCAGCCCCTGAGAACTTCCCACCACTGAGCCCAGCTGCTTGGACCATATGCTGGGGCCAGGATTTGGGCCTTACACCATTCCCATCTTTAGGAAGGTACATCCCACAGGTTATAACCACCTCCATGAGGCTAGAAACTCATCTACACCTTTGTAAAAGGCTCCAAGACAGGAGGAGCATCCCCTCGTGTCAGAGTGTGGTTTGTTATCCAGCTAGACAGGCAAACTCTAGGGGTCATCTCAGAATGGCTAAAAGACTTCTTTGAAAAATGGAAATACTCTCTGGAAAATCCTAGTTCAGACAAGGCCCATCGGACCCTGTCTAGACTAGACTTCTTGGTCGCTTTGTAACCCAAGTTCACTGGTTGCCAGTTTACTCAAGTTAATTCCCACAACTGCAATGGCAAATATAAACACCCCACATTGCTTTTAAACAGGAAATGAAGTTTATTCTATGGCTTAGCCTAGAGTGAAACACAAACATTTGGGAAGATGTCCACATTTGCAGTTATAGTCCTGTTGGTTAACTTGAGTGAAGTGTCAATCTTGAGTTACAGCATGACCAAGAAGTCCAGTTTAGACAGGGCCTGGGAGGCTTCCACCATCCCCTTTCGGCCACCTCCAAACCTCACTTCACTCTGCACACTGCCAGGGGGATACATCTGTTAGTTAGGGACTCATTAGTGGCTGATTTGTAAAGGGTTGAATGCCAGAATTTTACTGATGTAGCTGCTCTTGTAAGTTTATAAACAGAGAGCTCTGTTGTATTAATGTAGATCAGGGGTAGGCAACCTATGGCATGTGTGCCGAAGGCGGCATGCAAGCGGATTTTCAGTGGCACTCACACTGCCCTGGTCCTGGCCACCGGTCCAGGGGGGCTCTGCATTTTAATTTAATTTTAAATGAAACTTCTTAAATAGGGTTACCATATGTCCGGGTTTCCCCGGACATGTCCGGCTTTTGGGTCTTTAAATAGCCGTCCAGGGGGAATTTGTAAAAAGCTAAAAATGTCCGGGATTTCCCCCCGGACGGCTAATTAAAGACCCAAAAGCGAGGACAGGGCAGCCGCGCTGGGGGAACCGCGGCAAGCCGGCGCCGCCGGCGCCACTCACCTTTCCTCCCTGGGCCCTGGGGCAGCGTGCAGCTGAGAGCTCCCGGCGCGGCGGCGCCAGCCCACGGGGCCCCCCGCCTGGCCGGCAGGAGCCTGCAGAGCGCAGCCCTGCCCCTGGCCCGGCACACAGAGAGGCAGGGAGGTCTCACTCCCCTGCGTGCTGCAGCAGGACGGGGCTTGTAGACTCCGGCAGCAGGCAGCGGTTGTCGGGCAGAGAGCTCCCCCCGCCCCTGCCCCCCTCCCCTCGACCCGACCCGACCCTAGGAAGGGGCCAGAGGGACTGGGAGGGACCTGCCTGCTGGATGCTTCCTGGGAGCCGCTCCAGGTAAGCACTGCTGGGCTCACCTGGCCCCCTGGCAGGTCCCTCTGGGGGGGCTCCCCTCAGACCCACTGCCCTCAGGCCCCACCCTGACCCTGTTCCCTCAGCCTCCCCCGCAGGCCCCCCTGTACCTCCCACCCCGAACCCACTGCCCTCAGTCCCTGCCCCCGTTCCAACAGCCTCCCCCACAGTCCCCCTGCTCCCCCCAACCCACTGCCCTCAGCCTTGCCCTACCCCAAATCTCTTCTTCAGCCTCTCCCGTCATCCCACCCCCATCGCTCCCCCTGCTGTCCCACCCCCTCAACTTCCCACCATTCCAGTACTGCTCCCCTCTGTCTCATCCCCTCCAGACCCTGTCCCTCTCCCCAACCCCCCAACCCTCCCCAGCCCAGCCCCATTGTCTCCCCCGCCCCACCCCACTCTACACAGCTCTCTCTACCCTGTCCCATTCATGCTCCCCTCAGCCCCTACCCTACTCCCCCCATCCCAGTCCTGTCCCATCCCCCTCAGCCCCCCCCAGTTCCTCCACCCTGCTTCCCCCGGTCCATCCCCACACACCCACCGACTCCCTCGACCTCCCTCCCCCCAATCCCACTGCCTGGACCCACCCCCGTCCCACTCAGGACATGCATGAAAAAGAAGCAATGGGCTTAAATTGTAGCAAGGGAGAGTTAGGTTAGACATTAGGAAAAACTTCCTAACTGTAAAGGTAGTTAAGCACTGGACAAATTACCTAGAGAGGTTATGGAATAGCAGTCACTGGAGTTTTTTAAGAGGTTAGACAAACACCTGTCAAGGATGGTCTAGTTGTTATTACTCAGTCCTGCCTCAGTGCAGGGGTTTGACTAGATGACCTGTTGATGTCCCTTCCAGTCCTACATTTCTGTGATTCACACTGAATTGCCTTGTGCCACTGTCTAGTAGTAGTGGCACACAGTTCTCTGACATGCAGGTTTATAAAATTGTAGTTAATATACAGTTTAGAGTATAGCAATTTTAAAGCTCTGCATGTTCAGACCAACTGAGCTGAAAATTGTGATCTTGAATTCAAAACTATTAAGATGTGGGCTGAAATAAAATCAGCACTGAATATTATTCTAAAATTGTTTTCCAAATATTCTTAAACTCCCAGTTTATCCCCCGCTGATGTTCATTGTGAAAAGTATTGCAAGTCTAATAATAATATTTGGCACTTTTGTAATTCACTGTCCAACATGTGTTTTGTGCCCTCCTGTGGTGGATTTTTAGAGGATAACTGTATAGCTACCAGCTAAGGGAGTTATAGCTTGAACTCAAGTAGTAGAAGCTCATGCTTTTAAGTCTGGATGGCTCGGGTTCAATCTTTGGTGACTAGTTATGATGGAGGTTGCTACACTTATAATCCCTTTAATCAGAGGTTCTGAATATGCTTTGTTGTAGGCAGAACTAGCCTATAGTTAAGCAACCAAAAATTTAGAATGGGAAGTGTTGAAATGTTGTTGAAAGCCTTATAATTTTGCCAATCTGGAACGAACATCCCATCTGAGGGATGGGGGCGGGGAGAGAGGAGAGTGAGACAGGACCAGGAAACTGGGACAAGGAATCCAGAGCGGTAGTGGGGGGCAGTTGAAATCAGATGAGGAGCTGGGGTGGGTTAGACAGCAATAGGATAGACTGGAGGGGACGGGGAAGAAGGGTCTTTGACTACTAGAGACCACTCCATTCTCTGAACATTTGATTCGCGGGAAGCAGGGGAGGGGGAAGAGTAGGGGGCGGAGCGTTCAGGGGAGGGGGCGGAGTCGGGGCAGGGACGTTGGGGAAGGGGCGGAGTTGGGGTGGGGCCGGGGGCGGAGTTGGGGCAGGGCCCCTTGGAGTGTCCTCTTTTTCCAGGACTGCAATATGGTAACCCTATTCTTAAACATTTTAAAAACCTTATTTACTTTACATTCAACAATAGTTTAGTTATATATTATAGACTTGTAGAAAGAGACCTTCTAAAAACGTTAAAATGTATTACTGGCACGCGAAACCTTAAATTAGAGTGAATAAATGAAGACTCGGCACACCACTTCTGAAAGGTTGCCGACCCCTGATCAGGGCTGGTGCAAGGCAAGCGTCCTAGGCAAAACTTCCACCTTGCGCCCCCACCCCCACTCCCTGGAGCATCGCTTATTATAAAAACTTTCAAAAATGAATACAGTGGAGTTAGAACCTAACCCCCGCGTAAGGTATAAGGTCAGTGCGTAAGAGGAAAATTGCATATAGTGGAAATTACCATGAAGTAGAGTACACACAGTATACACAGTATACACTAGAACAGGGGTTCTCAACCTACGGCACGTGTGCCAATGGTGGAACGCGAGCCGATTTTTTTTTTTTAATGGCAGGCTGTGGGTCCCGGCCACCGCTGAGCCCGCTGCCAGCCTGGGGTTCCGTTCACTCAGCCGGCAGCGGGCTGAGTGGGGCCGGCCGCGGGCTGAGCAGGCCGGCGGCCAGGACCCTAGACCAGGAGCGGGCTGAACTGCTCAGTCTGGGGTTCCATCCACTGGCTTCTGCCAGCCGGGGTCCCAGCCGCCTGCCCCGCTCAGCCCATGAACGGAACCGCAGGCCGGTGGATGGAAGCCTGGGTGAGCGGAGCCTCCGGCCGGGACACCGGCAGTCAGCAGGCTAAGCGGAGCCTCCGGCCGGGACCCCAGCTGTCAGCGGGCTGAGCGGGGCCGGCGGCCAGGACCCCAGCTGGCAGCGGGTTGAGTGGGGCCGGCGGCCAGGACCCCGGCTGGCAGGAGCCGGCGGACGGAACCCCAGACTGGCAGCAGGCTCAGCGGCGACCGGGACCCGCAGCCTGCCATAAAAAAAAAAAAAAAAAAATCAGCTTGCGTGCCACCTTTGGCACACGTGCTGTAAGTTGAGGACCCCTGTTCTAGTGTATACTGTGTGTACTGTACTTTATGGTAATTTTCACTATATGCGATTTTCCTCTTATGCTCTGACCTTAGAACCTAACCCCCGCATAAGATGTGACTCCACTGTAGTGTAAAAAAAAATTTTTGGGCCCGCATTTTGGCGCCCCCAAATCTTGGCACCCTAGGCGTCTGCCTAGTTTGCCTAGTGGTTACACCGGCCCTGCCCCTGATGTAGATGGAATAAATAGGCCCAAAGAATCAAAAGTGTTAACATGACCTTCAGAGTATGTCTACACTGCAATTAGACACCCTCCTCACTCGCAGGGTCCCAGAGCTCAGGCTTCAGCCTAAGCCTAAATGTCCACACTGCAATTTTACAGCTCCACAGCCTGGGCCAGCTTGCATGGGCCAGCTGTGGGTGTTTAACTGCAGTGTAAATATACCCTAACTGTGCAACATTAAACAGTTTTAAACAAGGTTTGGTATACAGAGACCTCAGCCTGCTTAGTGCCACGGTAAACACACCATTAAAAATTCTTTGTAACCTTTCAGTACAGAAACAAAAAGGAGGGAAAAACACCTAAAGCATTAGAAATGAAAAGTATTAAGTGAGGCTTTCATTTTAACATCTCTTGTTCCCTTTCCCTTTAGCTGTAGAGAGTTTTTAGAAGAAAACTCTCCTTTGTTTGAAAGTCTCCTAGATGGTATTAAAGATGGTAATAACTGTCCTTTGGGGGAAAAGACAAGTTAGTTGAGATGGGCTGGAGCGGTCATTAAAGTCTGATCCTGTTTCCTAGAAGGCAAAACAAGACAAACACATAGAAGGGAAAAGAAAAGAACAGCAAAGATAGGAAATGCAATTTCTGTCTCTGGTGTTGATTCTCACTTACAACCTCACTGCTGGAAAAAAACAGGCCCAGCGCACAGTCTTATCAGCTACTGAGAGAGTTGGCAAGCTTGCACCAGCATCAGGCTATTTAGGGCATTGCTTTTACCTGCCTCTTTGTGGTCACAGATTTACAGAAGTGTTGCAAAATATTCAGTTTTGGCTAGCTGAGCCATACTCTTATTAGACATAAAGCAAGAGAAAGATAAGAAAGAGAAGAAATAAGTTGGGTCAGGAAAAGAACACACAAGAAAGGGTGTGGGGCAGATGAAGTCTCACATCCCAGTTAGTGTTCAAGATTTAGCCAAGCCGATGGAGGTAGCAGTGTCGTCCGGGTAACCTCTTTCTGGCTCAGTCTGGTCAGGCCATCTCTCAGTATTAGGATGAAGAAAGTCTGGGGTCCCTGGAGACGGTGGAGATGGCAGCCATGATAGTGAAGCTTGCTCCTTTCCTGTCTGTCAGTCAGCATTGTGGTAGCCCCTCTGCTTATTTTCATCTCTCAAAGTCTCTTTTTGAGAACCCCACAAGTCAAGTGATGGGCAGATTATCCCGTCATTATTTTGTCCACCAATTAGGCCTAATTTCTAACACACCTACTTTGGTTCACGGATTTCCAGTCCCACACTTCTCTTGTTTACTAGGCATGATCTCAACAATCCTTGAGGTATGTCAATAGGCCGTTTTGTTTGACTAATTTAGATTTGTGTCTCCATTTTGTACCTTTTCCCATCAACATTTATTGGTATTGTGACATTTTATAAAACTTTCACTCACTTCTTATAGTTGCACTCACAATTAGGGTACACCTCTACCTCAATATAATGCTGTCCTCGGAAACCAAAAAATCTTACCGTGTTATAGGTGAAACCGCGTTATATCGAACTTGCTTTGATCCACCGGAGTGCGCAGCGCCCCCCCCGGAGCACTGCTTTACCGTGTTATATCCAAATTCGTGTTATATCGGGTCGTGTTATATGGGGGTAGAGGTGTAAATTTGTAGACCCCATTATCACAACAGATCAAACATTTGAAACAGCTAAGAAACTAGCCTGACTGTACGTGATCCCTTTATCAGTAAAACTACTGAAAAGAGAATCTCTAGTGATGTCTTAAGGCTTGTCTATATGGTGGGGTAATGCGCACCAGAGGGGTATGAACTCTACAGCACGTGAATTCTGTTGCACACTATCTGGCCTGTGTAGACCCTGCTGGTGCACACTAAAACTTCCCTAATGTGAGAAGTTTTAGTGCACACCAGCAAGGTCTACACGGACTAGTTAGTGCACAACACGTTGGTACGCATTAGAATTCACACCCATCTGGTGTCCACTGCCACACCACATAGACAGGCTCTCAGTGATGTTGTTTGGACAAGACAAGCACTCAAGTTACCTTGTTGAAATGCTTCAGGTACATGTAGCACACGCCCAGGTTGTGGCAGATCTCCTACGTATAAAGGAAAAAGCTGCATAAGGGTGAACTTGACACTGGATAATCAGAAAGAGACTAGTAACAGTTATTGGTTTGGATGGGAACCTCCATGGACTTTGTAGTTCAAAGAACTTGCTACACTTCAGCCATTTTGATAATCTATTTGGTTTGATCCTCAGCATAAAGAAGAGTACATCCCAGGGGAGGTGACAGCAAGAGAGCAGTGAGGACAAAAGAGGGAAGGCCTGTGCAAAGGGATCTATACTTGGCTGAGACTGCACTGGATTCCCAGTGGGGAGATATGAATCCATCACATGTGACCTCTATTATACCAAGAGGCCCTCTCGAAACATCCCTAGCCTATGATAAACACAATTTGAAAGTGGGGCTAGCTGACCAGAATACAGGTCCTGTACCAGAGAGGCTGAAATCCTTTCAGCATGCTAAATATGCTGGTGGCACCATAGGAAACATTTACACCAATCCAGTTCACGACTAAGAATTTGTTAACAGACAAGCTACATGCTGTCTTTTCCCATTCTGGGGGATGTGAGGCACAATGCCAAGCAGCAGAGCAACCCCATAAGTTTCCCTTCTTCCTCTGCTAAAAACGTACCCCACTTTACTAGTGTAGAAATTCTCTACATTCCCTAGGTAGATCTCTAGCAGGGAGAATGCAGTCTATGGAATATTTTACCCTATCACAACAGAATGGCCCTCTCCTATGCACAACCCTTCCAGTTGTGAAGAACGGTAAAGACACAAAGCGCAACTCAAGGCTGGGTTGAGTTGGTAGGGTGCTTCCATACAAGGAAAGTGAAAGTATCAACTCTGACTCCAGCACTGAGCGTGTTATGGAGATACCTGTTCATGCCTGCCAGATGGGGTAGTAAAACTATAGGTTTAAAGCCATGCCCAGCACATGCCACAGATAGTTTGTTTTCTTAGGATAGGTCTACAGTGCAATCAGGAGGTATATTTGCAGCACTTGGAGACATACTCAAACTAGCTTTAATCTAGCTAGATCAAAGTGAGCTCGAGGAACAACAGCAGTGAAGCTGCAGCAGCATGGGCTAGCGCCACCTGCCTAGAATGCAGCTGCTGTCCCTACGGCCATGGCATCACTGCTATTGTTACTCGAGCTAGCTAGATCAAAGATAGCTGGGGTGGGTCTACACATGCTGCAATCACATCTCCCGACTGCAGTGCAAACTATCCTTAGGAAAGAACGGGGTTGAAAGGCAATCCATTTGATAAAAGCAGAGCTGGGTGACAATTTTTGGCTGAAAGATTTTCCAGGTAAAAATGCAGATTCGAAGACCCCAAAATATTTCCCAAATTACTGTTGGTTTTGCCAAATTGTTTCAGTGGAAAAAAAACAACAACAAAATTAAAAAAAAAATCAAAACGTTTTGATTTTTCAGTTGGAAACAACTTGCATGTAGAAATTTCCTTTATTTTTATTTTAAAACAATCAAAAAGGTTTAAAAATGGTCCAAATGTTTGTTTACGCTGAAACATTGCTATTTTGTCAAAATGAAACATCTTGTTCAATCCAAAATTATTCATTTTCTTTTTTAAAACACTCTTTGATTCATCAAAAATTTAAAAAACCCACTTTCGTTTTGGTTTGACCTGAAACTATTTTTAGATGTTTCAGAATTGCCAGCGTCCTGAAACGTCCATCATTTGCACAGCTCCAGGAAAAAGTTGTACTCACTGTTCAGCACAGAGTGGGTGGAAGAAGAGAAAGCAGTACCAAATACCCACACATATTGGGCCTAATTTATAGAAGTGCTGAGCACCTAAAGGCACAGATGAAGTCAATGGGAGCTGCAGATGCCTGAGCCTCTGGGAATCAGGCCCAATACACTTTGTTTTAAGCGTGCATATGATCAATGGCTTGCAGCATGAGAGCTCATGTGCAGAAACACAGCACTTCCCTTGGAGGCTGTTCTCAAGGATCTGTGAACCACGACCTCTCTCTTTCCTCACCTCCCGCCAGCTCACTTTACACTCATTGCTCTTTGTAGATCTCTTCTTTCAGCTCTTCTCCTACTTGGGAGGGTTTTATTTATTACTAGTCCTGTAACAGTGGACCTGAATTTTGCAAAGACAGACAATACTCAGTGCAGCCCATTGCTTATTTGGGGGCGGTTTTGCACTACTTTAGGTACCAGTGGAACAAGTTACCCAATTACCCACAGGATGGGGAGGGATAGCTCAGTGGTTTGCGCATTGGCCTGCTAAACCCAGGGTTGTGAGTTCAATCCTTGAAGGGGCCATTTAGGGCTCAGGGGCAAAAATCTGTCTGGGGATTGGTCCTGCTTTGAGCAGGGGGTTGGACTAGATGACCTCCTGAGGTCCCTTCCAACCCTAATATTCTATGATTCTATATCAGTGGTACTGGAGGGTTTCTGGACTGGACAGGTGCTTTCCATATCTACCCTTGAAGTAATCTAGCTCAGTGTGTACTGTACATGGCTATGCAGGGTTTGACTGGAAGGCTGATTTCCTGCAGAATACAAACATGTTGCATGGGTCTATGTTTGACTGTGCCTCAAGAAAGATTCTAGTGGCAAAAGGCTCTGTACTTACCCAATCCTTCTGGTTGAGTTTAGCTGCTTCATTGTATACTTCAATAGCTGCTTTGTGTTTTCCCAACAGAAACCTGTGAAAGAATTTCAATTTTTACTTTTCTCTGCCCTTTTAGCGTGAGGTCACACTGTGCAGCCACCAACCTACCAGCCAAGGAGAATGATATTATTTACATACCCCAAAGGTCTGCATACTGCTTTGCAATCTACCAATGACATACCTCTGTCCTAAGAAGTCTACAATCTAAGTAGGAAGAGGATCTCTTTGTAGTGAGTCAATGCTGATCTCTAGAAAGCCAGAGGATCACTGATGAGAGAAGTGAGTGCTCCCTTCATCGGCATGAATGCACTGCCTCTGCAATACTCCCTTGACCCAGGGAGAAAGGCACCTAACAATCTTTGCAGATCTGGGACTAACTCCCACAGAGACAGGTGCCCAACACAATCACATGCACACAGGCAGGGCTCAGTGGTACAAACCTGCACAGCACATACCTGCATTAACAGCTCTTGATCTAATCATCAGTATTACTTTTCCCCAAGCATTAAAAATAAAACGAAGAAAAAAGTCATGAAAGAGCATCAATGATTACAACTAGACAGATGCACTGTGCTAGAGATCCTAATTTAATAGGGAGTTCTCGTCTATGGAAACCAATCTAAGTGTCGATGGTGAGGAAACATACTTGGGATCTAAATGGTATTAACTTTGCGTCTGGAACAAAAACAAAGCTTGCCATGTACTGTGTGACACTTCAGACTGTAGGAATAAAATTACACTCACAATGATCGCGCCACCTGTTTGAGGTTGTCAGCACTCTGAGGATTTAGAATGGAACATGTCTGAAAAAGTTCTAGGGATTCTTGAATCTTCCCTTCTAAACGAAGTATCAAGGCTGCAAAGCAACACACACAAGGCAAATTAGTCCATTACCCTGTAGGGAAGACAAGCCGCATCACTGGCAGGCCTCGACTGTACAGGGAGGACAGATGAACTGTAACAGTTTCCATTCAGTTGCTCCCTCTATTACAGCAACATAACCAGAAACTTTCATTTGAGCGGGCTAAGGTGCCAGCACTGACTGAGCTAGGGTGCACACAGGAAGGACTGTATTTGCTTCGAGGCTGAAAACCACTTTAGAGGGGAGGGAGCCCTAAGTCTTCAGTAACAGAAAGTCTGAAATTCTCTTAGCCCCTGAAATGCTCCAGTGTACTGCAATCTGAACTGCAGCACTGATGCCCACTGATGACCTTCAGATCATCCCCCCGCCTGCATTCTGCCAACATGACACAGGGAACTTCAGCCTTCAGGGCCATGTTCCTTTACAAAATAAATCTCTCTTTTCATCCCTAGAACAGATTGTGGTACTCTAAAGAATCGAGGGTGGTTTGAGATAATGCTTTTCATTTTCATAACATTCCAAGGCAATGAATTGGTTATGTTCTGACTGTGTAAGCAAACACAGGAGCCACTGCATACTGAACATTAATGCGTCCTTAAAGGAAACCATAACCAAACAGTTACCTTAGAGAACATGGCTCTAACAAAAAACACATTTCACATGACACAGTCAAATGCAGAGGGCCAATTATAACCAGAGCCAAGCATCAGCAGTTCCAGGAAGATCTGAAGATCTCAGGTCACCAAGAAAAACTCATGTACTCACAAGAAGAACCAATCCTCATCTATTCATTAAAGTGTTAACCCTGGATTTCAAAATTAAACCAGGAAAGTAGAAACATTTCAGAAGTTATCACATGTCTATTCACTCAACCACATTTTCATTAAATCCTGCTAGAGTTCACATATGGTATTTATATTTGTGGGTTGTTTTTTTTAAAACAGGGAATTGCATTTCAAAGCAGAAGTAACTCAGGATGACAGATTATTTTCATAGTCTTCATCTGGCATACCTTGAACATAGACTGCATATTCACACATTCCCTGAGTCTCGTGGAGTTGCTCTTTGATAGCAATCTGAAACAATGAAGTGAAAATTATATCAAACAGAATTCCTGTCACCAGAGCATCTGTTGGACAGTTGAACATTATTCCCTTATATTAAAGAAATAGGCAATCCAATAATATAATAGTTTACAAAAAATCCTATAAAAATCCTTCAGATATCAGTATTTCAGTAAAGAGAAACTGTATATTTAAGGTAATGTTTATTTCAGTCTGGCTAAATATCCACGCCAATCTAGTTGGAAAGCATGTTTTCTATGTACTGTGATTAACTCAACTGCACTACACCAGTGCTCATAACACAAAGGCACAATATCTTCAATCTTTAATTTACCCTGAATTTAACAAACTGAATTTGAAAACAAACATCATACAGTGCCTTACTGTACTGCTCTTGCTGATTTCCTTCCACTTATGGATCTGGCAAAGAAGACACTAGGTAACTTCCACTAGGCACTAGGCAATATAATATAACAATAATGTTCATCAATCAGAGTTTGTGCTCTGAGCTGCCCTGTAAAATGACTTCTGAAATAAATGTTTCCACTTCACCCGTCAGCTGTAGCAAATTCCTGGGGATAAACTCCAGTTCTATTAATGTTTTAGACTTCCAAAATTTTAACAATGGTGCTATCAAGAACCATAACTAAATTCTCAATACTTGTAATTTGCAGAGCTCAGCTTTCAAAGAATGTTTATTTCCATCACACAGCACTTTTGCAGTAACAGGACTGGACCTGAGAAACTGAAGGCAGTGTGTGCATTTTTTTAAAGGAATATTTTGATCACCCTTCTGGATGTGAGGGAAGGTTGTTCACGATAAAGATGGTACCCATACAACAGAAGAATGGGGAGAAGAAATCCAAGACAGAAGCTCTCTATCAGAGAAAGTTTCAGTAGAACCCCTTTACATTCTATATGGGAGAACTGCACTGGCAGTACTGTGGCCCTTTTACTATTGCTCCCTTCATTCCTATTGCCAAAGATAATTAGATATTCCCCAGAGAAAATCCCACATGGAATCTATAAAAACATCCCATGCTAACAGAGGCCTCCACTCGAGGTGCTTTGTGAAGAAATGAATAAAAGTGGAGCAGCTGCAACTGAATCAACAAAACAAGAATGAACAAGTGATACTTCTTGGAGTAAGGGGAGGAAGGAACTGATAAAAGTGTCAAACCCTTACTGGCTATGTTCATGTGACTGACGGTCCGGGATCAGGCTGGAGATACTCCATAGTGCCAGCTAATCTGAAGATTTCATTCTACTATACTCTGGTCATGTAACAGAATGAAAACATTTCAAAAACCAGATTGGACCTTTGAGAGGACAAGGAGTGTGACTAAGAATTGATTGCACTGATCTTTCACAGAAGAAGGGCTCTGAGGTTTCTCCCTCACCTACAAACTGGCTCCTTAGGAGTGGAGAAGATGGGAGTGGGAGAGGTGGAAAGGGGACTTTGTCTCTTTCCACTCTAGCAGTAAGTTGGTGCTGCTCTGATACTCCTGCCAGCAATGTTATCAGCACCAGCAACCCCCACCTCAAGCAAGGAGCTGAACGAAGGGACTGGAAATAAGGGGGGGAAATTGACCTAAAATCTAGCTCATAAGGAGTTTGAGGGAGTATGGGTGGGGAGGTTATTACAGTGAAACCTTATCACTGTGAAATGTTTTGTGGGGTTGAAAATGAGGACACTCTCACTTTAGCATGTGTGGATGGAAGATGCATATGCTAAGATCCAAGGTGAAAGAAAACCCAGGGTGAGACAGCAAGACAATACAAGAGAAAAGAAACCCCAGGCTGCCCTTCTGCTTGGATTTGTATCTGCTGATCTTTTAGCTAACAGACTCCTCCCACAAATCTGCAATTTTGCATTTACAGATTAGATTAGTACTAGATGTTCATAAGAACATCTCTCACCCATTTCTAAATACTCCATTGTAACACCAGAACTTAACTGTAGTCAGCCATTTTGTGTGTCCAGTAGGGTGACCAGATGTCCCGATTTTATAGCGACAGTCCCGATTTTTGGGTCTTTTTCTTATATAGGCTCCTATTACCCCCCACCCCCGTCCCGATTTTTCACATTTGCTGTCTGGTCACCCTAGTATCCAGCCACTGCTAGATGAAAACCAAACACCACAGAGTCCTAAAAATTATTCCTAGCTAAGAGACAAGGACAAACAGGTGCATGTTTGCAGTTTTGCTAATTAAAATGTGAGGAGGGGAAAACGTTAAATCATAAAACCATAAAAATAAAAATAAAAATAAAAATGAATAGCGATCTTGTATTTGGGTGCCTCTAATATATAAGTTTATTATGGCTAGAAATATTAGGATTTTTTTATTAATAAAATTAATAAGCAATTTGCTAAAACTAGAAAAACTGGTAACCCACTAGGGGTTACTATAAATTATGTGATTTGTAAAAGTTAGCTATAAAAAAAGTAAAAGTAAACACCTTGGAACAGCCCAAGGGAGCTTTTCTTTGGGCAAGAAGCTGACACCTAAACTCCCCAGCAGCTGGAACAGAAGGAGGGCCCCCAGAAGCCTGGCTGTTAATTACTCAAAACCATCTCAAACTCTGGGTAACTATAACGTTTTGGAATGCTCTAAAACCTACTGCTACAGCATGAGTGTGTGTATGTGCTTGAAAGCTAATAAAAAGTAGTTTTAGGTAAAAGCACTCTTGTTTGTACCAATCATTTATCAGATGGAGGAGCTGTGTCTCATGGATTTATTCCTGAAGAGAAATAGTTAAATTATCACTACTTTGGGTTCAGAAAGCCCTGGGTAACACCCTCTTATTGATTATGGGAAGCACATTTTTCCATCCACACAGTATCAGTCTCTTAGAGCAAGAGAGGACAACAGATAGCTCTCTTTTAGAGACATTTGATTAATTCTTTAAACCCTGAAAAATCACATCACAAAAGTGCTTGTGCTAAAGACAATGAACTATAATCCCAGTTTTTCCTCCCCAATTTTCCTTAACTTGCTGACAGAATTTAGGAATCTTGGTACAAGAACAAACAGGGTGAATTTAATGAATTAAAAACACATGGTTATTTTAATTATTCCTTCCTTGTGTGTAACAGAAAACGGAGGGGATTTTAAAAATGGATGAAGGGGGAAGAAACTGGATTTGAAGCTGCAAAATAATCTATGAAGATGCACACAATGAAGAGCTAGATTTCAAAGTGAAGTCTTTGACAATCTCTGTTTACTCTCGGGTAAGTGTGTATCTGCATCACAAAACTACTGAACACAGTCTGGCACCAATGCCTATGCTACTGACTGTATAGGAATAGCAGAGGGTGTCACAGCCTAGGGCTGTGTACAGAAGTTTGTCTTGCATCTGGCCGGCTTCCAAGGCATCAGGATTTAACAGCCAGTACCATCAGTCTCTTATTTCAACAAGCAGTAAAATTTACCAAAAAACCCTCAGAAACACCAAAACAAAATTGGAGGGAGTGGAAGTGTAAAAGTACTAATCAAGTTAACCCTTTCATTTCTGGAAGGTGTAGGTGGCGGAACAAGTCATTCTGCAATGATGCTTAGCATCATTGGAAAATATGGGGATTTTAAAAACTCTTTAATAGACAGAAGTCGGGGGGAAAAGTCAGGCAGAATTCAGGTCAAAGTTATGAAAATCAAGAACTAATGCAAAGGAGGATGCCTCTCTCCGAGAGCTGATAAAGGAATGAATTTGCCATCAGAGTTTACAGATCAGAGTCACTTCTTAGCTAAGCCTTGACAGGGCAACCGTCAGGGCCAGTGCAAGGAAGTTTTGCGCCCTAGGTGAAACTTCCACCTTGCCCCCCCCCCCCCCAGCCATGCAGCAGCTCCCCGCCCCGCCCGCCGTGAGGTGCCCTCCCCCACGATGCTCCCCCCCTGGGAGCTGTGCGGCAGCTCCTTCCCGAGCACGCCACCCCTGCTCTAATTCTCCTCCCCTCTCAGGCTTGCAGTGCCAAACAGCTGATTGGTGCTGCAAGCCTGGGAGGCGGGAGAAGTGGAGCGGCGACCGCGTGCTTGGGAAGGAACGCTGTAAAAAAAATTGGGGGCACCACTTTTTGGCGCCCCCAAATCTTGGCACCCTAGGCAACCGCCTAGTTCGCCTTAATGGTAGCACCGGCCCTGGCAACTGTTCATTCAATAAACATCTGCGCAATAATGGATTTTTAAGGAATAACCCAAACACTATTTAAACCTCATGCTCTGCAGTGGACTAGATCACTGTGGCTGTGACAATGGGAGGGGCTGATCCACTCATTCCCTCATTCTTTAAGACACTAGACCTTTATATACTTCTTTCTGGAGTCTGCTTTGTGAGCGTGTACCCACAAGTGTGTGCACATGAGCACATTCATGAGCAAGCGAGAAAGGGATATCCTTTCGTAGGCCGTAGCCCTGACCAATCCTTCTGACTTTGTTCTCAATGTTTCATTTTGTGAGCCACCAAGACTTTACAGACTATTGGGGCTTCACAGACCAGTGTGAGAGCTGCTGCTTCACAACTGATCTACAAAGGAAAAGAAAGTTAGGTTTGCTCCTCTTTAAATGCAACCAGCTTAATAGAGAGGGGAAGTGATTTTTATTCAGACTCAGAGGGGTAGCCGTGTTAGTCTGAATCTGTAAAAAGCAACAGAGGGTCCTGTGGCACCTTTAAGACTAACAGAAGTATTGGGAGCATAAGCTTTCGTGGGTAAGAACCTCACTTCTTCAGATGCAAGTAATGGAAATCTCCAGAGGCAGGTATAAATCAGTATGGAGATAACGAGGTTAGTTCAATCAGGGAGGGTGAGGTGCTCTGCTAGCAGTTGAGGTGTGAACACCAAGGGAGGAGAAACTGCTTCTGTAGTTGGATAGCCATTCACAGTCTTTGTTTAATCCTGATCTAATGGTGTCAAATTTGCAAATGAACTGGAGCTCAGCAGTTTCTCTTTGGAGTCTGGTCCTGAAGTTTTTTTGCTGTAAGATGGCTACCTTTACATCTGCTATTGTGTGGCCAG